TTTCTACATGTACAATTCAGTGACATTGATTACATTCTTCCAGTTGTGCTGCTATTCTCACTATCCTTTTGCAAATTATTCCATCACCATTATCTTTAATTCACTGCCCTCTAGGCTTTCGATCAGACCTTTTTAGTTGCTGTTGTCAATTTGATCTCACATAGATAATTCTTTTTTTTTTTTTTAGATGAAGGTTTGCAGAACAAATAGTTTCTCACCCAACAGTTGGTACACATATTGCCCTGTGACGATGGGTTAACAACCCCATGACAAGTCAACACTGCCCCTTCTCAACCTTGGGTTCCCTATCACCAGCTTTCTTGTCCCCTCCTGCCTACTAGTCCTTGTCCCTGGACTGCTGTGCCTCATTAGTCCCGTTTTGTTTTATGAGGCTGTCCAATCCCCGGCTGAATGGTGAACTTCAGGAGTGACTTCACAACTGTTAAAATTATTTTTAATTAAACATGCCCACTATCAGTACATTTCTTAATATTTGAGTTATCCTTTGGGAATGTTATATGACATTATATTAAATTTATGAATTTACTTAGGTGCTGTTTTCAGTTTTATTAAATTAAGTAATGAGGAGTGGCTCTGTTTGTTCATTTCATCAATGTTTTTTCCCTTCCTCCTTTCTTCTCTCCTTCCTGTTTTTCCTTTTCCCTTCCACTTTTTTTTCCTTCCTTAACAGTTGCTATTCTTTAGTTCTTTTAAATCCTCATTAATTGCCAAGTATTCATCTGATTGTTTGTGTAAATGGGATTACTCTTTACAACTTCTGTTAATAGAATTATTTAAAAAACTTAAATAAATGAGATAACATTCTAATATTATTGACGTTTTAAAAAATACATAAAGCCTTCAATATTTGCTTACATATGTGATTTCTCTTTAAAAAACCGCGATATATATCGAGTTGTGTTTTTATGTTCTTGTTGTACCTTGATAATCTAATAATAGGAAATGGTAAGCATTAGGGTTGTATTTTGACTTGTGTGTGCCCTAAGTACTTTTGCCTTCACAGGCCCCTTGCTCCATAAAAAAATAATTAAAACATTTTATGACTGTTACACAGACATATGTGTTAATATTAGATATAAAGTATTTTCTTCTTCATAAAAGTTAATTTTTTTCTTATTTTAAAAGAAATTAAAGCATTTTCTTAGAACTCTAACATTATTGTGAGCCCTAAGCACTGTGTCTACTGTGCCTAATGTATAAACATTACAGAATTGGGTTATAGTCTCAGACCAACTTAGTAATAGAAAATTATTTAAAGTTCTTTTCAGGTGAGCAATAAACTGTGGGCTACTGAAGGTAGAGTTCCTAATATGTCATTAAAAAAAAAAAAACTTTACGAACGAACAACCAGAATGGAAATAATGAGGATGTGCATCCATTGAGAAGTATGTAACCATTGTCACCAGACAGCTTTTGTAGAAATTGTTGAATGGGAACCTAAATTGCTGTGCAAACCTTCACCAAAAACCCAATAAAATACTATTTTAAAAAATCAATCATATTTCTAGAAATCAAACTTAAAAACAAAATACCATTTACATTAGCCTCAAAAAATGATAGCCAGAATATGGGATCTGAATGCTGAAAACTACAAAATGCTAATAAAAGGAATCAGAAGACCTCAATAAAAGGAGAGGCGCACCATAATCATGGATGGAAGACTCAACAGAAAAAAGATGTCGGTTCTCTCTAAAATGATCTGTAAGTTTCACACGATTCGTATGAAAATCCCAGTAGGATTTTTTGGTACATATAGTCAAGCTGATTCTAAAATTTATATGGAAAGGCAGTGGAGCTAGAATAGCTGAAAAAATTTTTAAAAAGTTGGAACTAAAAAAAATAAGAATTATTTTATAATTAGTTTATGTGGAGAACTTCTGGAGGTCTGGTTTATGTTATCTGGGAACCTAGTTAGATAGTATGGGGTTCTGATGATAGGATAAAAATATTGAACAATGTTATAGCTTGTCGGTAAGGTATTCTAAATACCTGATATGCATTGAAGAACACTGAGATGTAATTGGAGTGAGAGGGAAAAGGGGACAAGTTTTCTTCAGATAAGTTCAGATAGGGTAGGTTAAAGTACAGGGAAGGTAATAAAGTACAGGGAAGGTAATTTGTATACTAGCCGACAGTCTAGGTTATTCAAAAACTAGCATGCTGTTTTGTTGTAAGCTTGAAATTTTATAAAATGCAGAGATCTTTTTAAGAGGGAAGATTCAAGGATAGTGTCGAAAACTTTAGGAAAAGCATTTCACTTTTCAGAAAGATGTGTGTGTACTTTAAATCAAAATGATTTGTAACCAGTAATATATTATTGAATTATTTAGTATATAAATAAAATCGAAAATTTTGTTATTTTAAGCCTTTTTTCCTAAGAAAATTATTTTTTAAAAACCCTCCTTTTTTTTTAAAGGAGTTATCAGCTTGGAAAACAATCTAAAGTTTTAAGCAGGGGAAAAAGTCATTGTGAAATTTTGTTCATTCAGAACTGTGACCCAGAAATATGGCTCCAAGTGTTATTTAGAAAAACAGTTCTCAGTTTTTCTTGAAACAAGCAAACAAAAAAACCCTGTTTTCCTAGTCTTTAAACCACAAGTACGTGTGTGTATATTTGTTTGTTTATTTAAAGAAGTACATACGTTTATATAAAATACGTTTTTCTTTTTTATTTAAAAGATAGGTAATATATTCACACGGGTCAAAAATTAAAATACTCTAAAAAGGTGAACACTGAAAAGCCTATCTCCTATTCCTGTTTCCCACTTCCATCCCTTTTAGGTAACCACTTTTATTAGCTTCTTTTGTATCTTCCGTTGTTTCTTTACCCAAATACAAATATATCTTTTCCCCCCATTCTTATAAAAGAAGTAACATATTATATACACTTATGCATTTGTAATTTTTCCTAAATATATCCTGTAGATCTTAGAAATGTATTTCTTTTTTTTTAAAAAAAAAAAAGGTGAGCAACAGAAATGTTATTTATTTATTATTTTTTTTCATCAGTCAATACAGTTCTCAGCCCTAGGGGTCACAGGGAAGTAGTTTGCTACCAAAGAAGAATCTGTCTCTCTCCAGAGAGAGGAATAGGGTTAATGCTTACCTCCTTTATTTTTTATTTTAATTTTTTTTTAATTGTTGTAGTTTAAATGAAGTTTACATTTCAAGTTAGTCTCCCATACAAAAATTCATGCATACATTGTTACGTGACCCTAATTGCTCTCCCCATACTGCGACAGCACACTCCTCCTTTCCACCCCTGATCTCCCATGTCCATTCAACCAGCTCCTAACCCTCTTTGCCTTCCCATCTCACCTTTTTGGACGGAAGCTGCCCGTTTAGTCTCTTGTATTTACTTGAGCTAAGAGGCACACTCCTCATGAGTATCACTTTATGTCTCACAGTCCAGTCCAATCCCTGTCTGAAGAGTTGGTCTCGGAAATTGTTTTGAGAAATGTATTTCTTTTAGTATCCATTAGGATTATAGTGATTGTCAAATTGACAGATTTAGAAATCATTTCTAGTTTAGCATCAATTTTGACTAGTGGCATGTAGAGTATTTGACATACTTTAATAATTACTTAATAATTTAATAAAATATTTAATATTTTTTAATTATTATATCAATCTGAGGAAGCCTAGTAGATATAATCCCTATTTGCTTTATATAAATTAGAGGTTTTTCTTTTAAGCCTGAAATGTTTGAATATGCTGGACTTAACTTTAAAAATATGTCTAGAAAACTTTTTCTGACTTCTCAAGATATTCACATGATTTTTAGTGTGCACTTCCAGTGTATGAGTAAGTACAAGAAAATGCCCAGCCAGTTAGGTCATATGATGGGCTGAACAATCTCTGTTTGTTTAGAAATCAACAGAACTTTCAGAATGATAGTGGCAGTTTTCTTTAACATATCTTCACGTAATAAATAGCTTTTCCCTCTTAGTTTGGATTGATTTGTTTATGTTACATGTGAAAATAGATTGTGAAAGGTCGGTATTATCTACAGCAACAAGTTAAAATTAAAATTTTATAATTGTTCTCTAGATTAATTTTGGCTATTCTTTGAAGAAGAATTGTTGTTAGTTGCCATCAAATTGGCTCCAACTTACGGCGACCTTATGTATAACAGAATGAAATTTTTCTCGATCTTAAGAATAAGAGTCTATTGATTGATTGGTTATTATTTACCAGGTCCAGTTTAAGTGCTTTATAAACATCTTTTATTTAATCAACACAGCAGGTGTAGGTACTGTTGATTTTCCCATTTTGCAAATGAGAAATCTAATTCAAGTTTAGGATTCTTTAAGGAAAGGAACCTGAGTGGCACAAGCAGTTTGCGGTTGGCTTGTAACCTAACGGTTGACAGTTTGAACCCACCCAGTGGCGCTGCAGGAGAAAGGCCTGGAGATCTGCTTCTGTAAAGATTACAGCCAAGAAAACCCTATGGAGCAGTTCTTCTCTGCACACACAGGGTTGTCATGAGTTGGGGGCTGACTTAGCAGCCAACAACAATGATATAAGGAAACATTATAATCCCTATTTTACAGATGAATCTGTCAAGCTTCAAATCCTGCATGTACTTTTTCTACTGTATCACATTGCCTTTTTTGTCTAGCAGTGGTTCTCATCCCAGGTGGTATTACTCTTGTTAGGTGTGATTTTTGTTGTCACACTGACTGAGGGTTACTGTTGACATTGAGTAGGCAGAGACCCAGATGCAACATGCTGGATAGTCTTACACTACAAAGACTTCTTCGGCCCTGAACACCTAGTAGTATCCCTATTTAGAAACATACTGCTAGTGTCTTTCTCCTTTCTTGTCCCACTTCATAGGTGATTAGAGATTAATTGTGCAAACACGTTTATTAGTTGTGCTTTATTTATTATTGTTTTACCATTTTTCTTTTATATTTGGAGTACACTTAGGAAGTGTCCTATTCTTTCAGGCCTTTGAGGGGGATGAAAAAGAGGCGGTATTCTCATTTTGAAAAAGCGATCTAAATGTTATTGATTGATTTAGTAATAGAAACAGGAGTTAAAATTTAAACATACTATCTTTTTAATGATATTACTTTGCTTAAGTATCTTAACAGCTTTTTATCACACTTAGACCTAGTTTTTATGATATTAAAGTACTTTTCAAATGAAATGTAGAAATGGGACATATTTGAAACAAGAGACTTTAAAAAAGTTTTATAAAGCATAAAATGTCATACATAAATATTGACTCTTATGCAACAATATTATTAAATGTTCTTGCTTTCTCTTTATATTCTCATTCATGGAAAGGCCTGTTCAGATAATCTCACTACCTGACTGGAACCTAATGCTGAGCTATCTGTATCATAACTGTACAAAAGCAAAGCTAGAAGTAGACACTGTTGGCATCGAGTTAGCTCCAACTCATTGCGACCCCATGTGTGCAGAGTAGAAATGCTCCATAGCGTTCTCTTGGCTGTAATCTTTACAGAAACAGATCAACAGGCCTTTCTGCTGTGGCATTGCTGGGTAGGTTTGAACCATCAATCTTTAGGTTAGCAGCCAAGCACAAACCACTTGCACCATCCATGGACCTCCTATAAGTAGACAGAAATCTGTAAATAATGCAGTGATGTTTTCTGAAATTTACTGAAGACCATTCAAAGAAATTTGAAATTTTATTATTCTTTGGAGGAGGAATTACAGGAATGCTAAATTACTAGTTTTAGTTTTCCTTGATCCTCTGACTGTAGAATTTAGCTGTATCATAGGCATGTTTAACTTACTGATTTTAAATATATATATGTTTTGGCCTCTCAAGATTTTTTTTCCCTAAAAAAACTAAATGGCAGTCCATTTAGTGAGCTTATGTGTGCTGTTTTCACAGTTAACAGTTTTTACTTCTTTTATGTTATGAATATCTAATTACACTGAGTGTAATTTTTCATAGAGTATGTATATTTTATACATAGCCGTATATGCAAGCCAACTTCTTCAGCTAATGCTCAAAGAGGCAGTTTTGCTTTAATAATTGAAGAAAAGTCAGCTGTATTGAACATATTTGAGAGGTGACTTAATATGTTCTCCAACAAATAACTCGGGAATCAAGGAAAATTGATTAACTGAAGTTTTTGCCTTACACCCTGACTTTGAAAACTAACCGCAGGAAATGCTGCTATTCCATGTCTTTTTGCAATAGTGTGGTTTATGCTGTGGTCATATATCAAATAATAAGTTAAAAAAAAGTTATTTTTGGGTCGGAAAACAGGGAAAGGTAAGAGATAATTCTTCTTTCCTTGTCCTTGACCCTATCCTTGGCCCCTATCTTTTTCTTTTCCCATCTCAAGATAAGGAAACCAGAGGGTATGCCTTACAGAAGGTTTAAAATTACTGAAATGAGGTCTTGAAGCTTTTTGAGAGAAAGAAGACTTGAATACCCTTAGTATTAGGGGATCTGCTTTCATTAAGATTGTTGTTGTGGTTAGGTGCCATCAAGTTGATTTTCGACTCACAGCAACCCCATATGACAGGGTTTTCTTGGCTGTAATCTTTATGGAAGCAGATCTCCAGGTTTGCAATTGAATGCTTAACTAATGTACCTCCAGGGCTCCTTTCTGTTAAATTACAGTCAAGAAAATCCTATGGAGCATCCTACTCTGTAACACATGGAGTCGCCATGATTTGGAATTGGCTCAATGGCAGCTAACCAGAATGACAGTATTAGGTGATGAAACCATTGGTACGGTCTTTTAATTGCACATGCAGGTTTTATTTTAGTGTATATTTAAAAAAATACTTGCTGCTTACTGCCATCAGCCTCTTTCCTCACATCCTCTGCTCCACCCATCACTACTTATTGTGCATTTTCCCCTTATTACGGTCTTATTATACTTCTAAGAAATAAATTTTATGAAAGCATGTACATTTTCCAGTTAGAAAACAAACTGAGAGGAAGATATGTAGAAGTCGATAATAAGCTTTATAATCAAAATTACTCAGTTATTCTTGATACTAATTATTGTCCAACAGTGAGAAGTAGAGTTTTTCATATTTAGCTCAGTGACTTACTGAGCATCTGCCACGTTGAAGGCACTGTTCTAGGCACTATTCAGAATGAAAATGTTTTAACATAATCACCAGAGAGCAACAGTAGTTGCTAAATAATTCTTATTTTCTTCCTCTCAAATTTCAGGGGTCATGGCTAGGGAATGGGGAGCCAAAGATGAGCAATGTAGGCCTGAACCCTGCTTTCAGGAGCCTTCAAGACAGGGAGATAAATAGTTAAAACCGAAAAAAAAAACAAAAAACGACACACACACAACTGAGCAGAGGTGATAAGTGCAGAAGCTTTATTGTGTAATAAGAGCACAGACTCAGGGACCAAACTGTCTGCATCTGCCACAAAGTAGAGCTCCGTAAGTGTTAAACTGTTATTTTACACTTACTATCTGACAAATTTAGTTAGGTATTTAAGTCTGCAGCTGGAATAGCAAACATTCTGGGCTCAGCTTGATGTAGGGGAGCATTGAGGGACAGTTATGATTGTGTCAAAAAAAGCTGCTCAGTTTAAGCAGTGTTTAAGCTGTGATTTGTAAGATGAGTGAGCTTTTACTGTATAAAGCAGGGTGGGAGAGAACTAGAGAGAGCAGCATGCTGAAAGGGTTGGAGGCCAGAGAACAAAGAGCTTTTGAGGAAAGTGATCTGTGATGACACTTGGGAAGGACTTTGTAAGCTTGACTTTTTCTCTAATTTGGGTTTATAAACTTGAAGCTGATTTTTGTAGTACATAATATAGTTAAATTTTATTTTTAAATAAAGGTGAAAAGAAAACCCAAACAATTCTAAACAATACAATTTAGTACTCTTCAAAGCTAACAATTGTCAGCACACTTTGTTAGAGGCTATTCTAGTTATCTGTTGCTGCATAGCAAACTGTTCTAAAATTTAGCGACTTCAATGGTAAGTTATTATTATACAGTTTATGAGTTAATAACTGGGCAGTTCTTACATGGGGTCTCTCATGAAGTGGCAGTCAGATAGTGGCTGGGGCTGGAGTCATTTGAAAACCTGTCTGGAATGGATGCTGAACATGGCTGGCATTGGATGCTGGCGGTCAGCTGAGGTCTCAGCTGGGGACAGTTGATTGAAACACTTTCACGTGGCCCCTGCCTTTAGGTTTAGTTTCTCATAGAATGATGGCTGGGTTCCTAGAGTGTGCATTCTAAGAGTAAGTGCCCCAAGAAACCCATGTGGGTTCTTCATGGCTTTATATGAACTAGTCTTAAAAGTCTGGAGTATCATTTCTGCTATCTTCTGTTAGTCAGGCGAGTTACTGAGGTCAGCCCAGATTCAAGGGGAGGCTTATTAGACTCAATGGGGAAGTAGCAGGGTCACATGGAAGAGTGTGTAGGAGGGGAATTATTGTTGTGGTATCTCTCTGTGGGTGCCTTCTCTGACACCAGCTAACTCTAAATCCAGATATCCTGTCTGAAATTAACTGTGCAAATGCTGTACTTCTTCCTCAGACCCTAACTGCCAGAGCTAGTTCAGATCTCACAAATTAAAAGGCACAGTCCTCTTGACTGCCAAGTCTGCCCAAGACTTCAAATGCTGGCTGCAAGTCTCCATGATACCCTCACTTCTTACCTGTAGGCTACAAATTTGGAGGTTCCTTCTACCCCATCAGGATGCCAGCCATAAGCTTTGAGTCCCCAGGCTCTCCATACTTCTGACCTGCTAGCTACAAATTCAGGGATTCTCATTACTCCCTCTGGTTCAGTAATTTGCTAGTATGTCTAAAAGAACTCAGGAGATCACTGCATTTATGATTTTGGTTTTATTATAGGAAAATGGATACAAATAAAGAGACACATTGGGAGGGTTCCCAGCGTAGAACTTCCATGTCCCAAAGGGTGCAAACAGCCCCCTCCCCCATGCATCAGTATCTAACATCAGTCAGGAAGCTCATGGAGCTTTTGAGTCCAGCAGTTTTATACTAGGGTCTCCATATGTAGACATGATAGATTGAATCATTGCCCATGTGGTTGAACTGTACCTACAGCCCCCCAAGTTCGGGCTGATATCACATGGTGGGGCTTTCTAGCCTAGTCAGCCTACCTCAGGGATAACAAAGACTCCAATCACAGGAAATTCCAAGGTTTTAGAGGAACCAAGTACAAAGACCATATTCTTTGGATAAAGTTTGTTGTAAACCCACAGTCTATAAATACTTAATCAGAACTTTGAACTTGAAAGCAAAACCGTGAAATTCATCATTAGAACACAATACCAAACCAAACCTGTTGCTGTCGAGTCGATTCTAACTCATAGTTACTCTATAGTACAGAGTAGAACTGCCCCATAGAGTTTCCAAGGAGCAGCTGGTGGATTCGAACTGCTGATCTTTTGGTTAGCAGCCGAATGCTTAACCACTGTGCCACCAGGTCCCCAAATAGAACACAGTAGATTCCTAGTAAATGAAATAGCAATTCCTATTTTTGATACTTGAGACACTCAGTCCTTGAGAACTTGAATGGCACAATGTGTTGTAGGAGTTTCTTTATCTAATATTTATGGCCTTTTATATAGAAAAATATTGTTCTTTGGTGAGAAAGATCTACCTATATGTACATATTTATAAATATAAATAGCTAACGCATAAGATATCTTAACTAATTTGGAAGTCATAAAGATTTGATTTCATGATGACCTTTTGTGGTTTTGTTTTATACAGATGACCTGATAATAAAGTTTTTACTTTATAAATAAAGTTCATGAAAACAAAAGTGAAGATAATGGCATTTTCTGAAATTCATAGTTTTAAATATGATATTGTGGTTTATATAAATGTTGGGCAAACCAAGTATAGTTTACATGACAGCTGTAACTTATACCAGATATTTGTTTAATTTATAGTTAAAAGCACCAGGCTAGACCTTAAATTCCATGAAGCTGGATCACTATCTTCTTAGTCACTGCTTTATTCCTAAAGTCTTGCATAGTACTTATTGCCTAGAAGGTAATTAATAAATATTACTTAAGGAAAGTTATGACTCTGTTTACTACCTGTTGAATATTTTTTCACAGTGCCATTGTAATTTGTATGGAGAAGGTGATTCACCCTGCTGGTATTGCTTACTGAATTGGATTAATCATAAGGGTCGGTATCCTTTAGCACCGATACATACATATAACTTTCTCAGTACCTTCAATAAGATGAATGAGTGAGAATGAGAATTTTTCTAAAATTTCTAGATCAAAGGAGTGACTACTGATAAAATTTATTAAAAAAAAATTATCCTTTCCAGATTTACCTTAAGAGTTTCATGTTCTACAAAAATCTTTATTTTGTGTGTGAAATTGGAAAATACTTAATTGCAAAAGAAGGTACAATGACACGGCCTTTTTTTGTGTCTCAAGGTTAAGGAGGGTTCACAGCTTAATTCTCACTTACTTCCAAGTGTGAAGTAGCTTGTTTTGTATAATAATTATGGCGTCACATAGAAACCGAATGGGTGAGAGTGGAATGGGAATAGAGAGGATTAGATAGAGAAGAGCCCCCCTCTTAAGATTATGTGTTGTTTTCTTTGAAGCATATAGTATAGTTTGTTGAGGTGGATTAAATAAAATTGATTTGGATGCTTTAGTTCATCAGAGCTGACATATACAAAGATAACTTTACATTCCCAAGAAGTCTGTCTTTTGTCTGATCTACTGTTTGAGAAAAAGACATTAGAAGCCACAACTGTATAAAAGTGCTGTTCCTTTTTTCCCTCCTTTTTATGAACTACATGACCCACATCTATGTATAACAAGATGATTTTTGGGTGACCATACATCCCCATCCCATCCATAAGATTTTCATTGGCTGATTTTTAGAAGTGGATCTCTAGGCCTTTCTTCCTAGTCTGTCTTAGTCTGGAAGCTCTGCTAAAACCTGTCTACCATGGGTGACCCTGCTAGTATTTAAAATACTGATAGCATAGCCTCCAGCATCAAAGCAACATGTAAGCCACCACAGTATGACAAACTGATAGAAAACTGTGTCTAGACTGTAAGAAATTATGAATAACGTTATGAAGAATGGGAATTCCAGAACACTTAATTGTGCTCGTGCAGAGCCTGTACATGGATCAAGAGGCAGTCATTCAAACAGAACATGGAGATACTGCATGGTTCAGGATTGGAAAAGTATGTGGCAGGGTTGTTTCTTTTCACTTTATTTATTCAGTCTGTATGCTGAACACATAATCTGAGAAGCTGCAATATATGAAAAAGAATGTATCAGGATTGGAGGAACATTAACAACCTGTAATATGTGGATGACACAACCTTGCTTGCCAAAAATAAAGACTTGAAGCACTTACTGATGAAGATTAAAAACTACAGCCTTCAGTGTGATTACACTTCACCTTGAAGCAAGCAAAAATCCTCACAACTGGACCAATAAACAGCATCATGATGAACGAAAAAGAAATTGAAGTTATCAATGATTTCATTCTACTTGGATCAACAGTCTACATCCATGGAAGCAGCAGTCAAGAAATCAAATGACATATTGCATTGGGCAAATCTGCTGCAAAGAAGAACCTCTTTAAAATTTTAAAAAGCAAAGATGTTACTTTGATGACTAAGCCTGATCCAAGGCATGGTCTTTTAAGTTGCCTCTTATGCATGTGAAAGATGGACAGTGAAAAAGGATGCCAGAAGAATAATTGATACATTCAAACTGTGGTGTTGGCAAAGAGTATTGAATATACCATGGACTGCCAGAAGAGTGAACAAATCAAACTTCGAAGAAATGCAACCAGAATGCTCCTTAGAAGCAAGGATGACAAGACTTTGGCTTTCTTACTTTAGACATGTCATCAGGAAAGATTAATTGCTGTAAAAGGACATCATGGTTGGTAAACTAGAGGGTCAACGAAAAAGAGGGAGACCTTCAGTGAGATGAGTTGATACAGTGGTTGCAACAATGGGCTCAAACATAGCAATGATTGTGAAGCCGGCATATGACTGGGCAATGTTTTATTCTGTTATACATAAGGTAGCTCTCTCTGAGTTGGAGCAGAGTCCATTGCACCTTTTGTGATTTTGTTTTATACAGATGACCTGATAGTAAAGTTTTTACTTTATGAAAATTTTAAAAACAAAAGTAAAAATAATGGCATTTTTTGAAATTTATGGTTTTAAACATGATACTGTGGTTTATATAAAAGTAGGACAAACCAAGTAAAGTTTATGCAACAACTATAACTTACACCAGATATTGAGAAGTGTGTGTTGAAGTTTTCAATAGAGTGTTTTTCCTTTCAGTTTGGTGTTTTCCTTTATATATTTTGAAGTTATTTTGTTAGGTGCATACACATTTAGAATTGTTATTGCAGTGTGGTAAATTACTTAGTATGCCCTTTCTTGCCATGGTCTTGTAACTCCCATCCAGGTGATTGAGCGGGGCTGTGCAGATAAGATAATTGTGGCCCACTGAGGGGATTGGTCAGTTTTGCCTTAGAAGAGAGCCAGTTTCCGAGCAGAGAAGAGGATCCTACCACCACCGAGGAAGAGCAGCCAGGAATGGAGAGTGCGTCCTTTGGATCTGGGATCCCTGTGCTGAGAAGCTCCTGGAAGCAGGGAACCAGGAGAGAGAGAGCTGGCTGTAACCTTGAAGATGGTGAGAAGCAGTGGCAGGAGAGACCCGACAGCAGAGACCTGGCAGCAGGAGACGGCGTGGTGGACTTCCCGGCCCATGGAGAGAGAAAACTGAGTGCCTTTGGGCAGAGGCTGAGGGCCAGAGAGAGGCATACCTGTGAGCACAGCTGGGGAGAGGCCATCCTGATGGAAGAACTGTATCCTGAGTGTTCCTGAGCCTGAATTGTAACTGTTATTTCCCTTATAATAAACCCCATAACCATGAGTATGGTCTTCGAGTTCTGTGTGGCCATTGCAATGAATTACTGAACCCAGCAGAGAAGTAGAGAGTGCTGTGTGAGGGATGGTTGGTGTCAGAAGGTAAAGATGGTGGAGAGACGACGAGGCATGTCAGACCCCTGCCCCATAGGAATCAGCTTTGAGCTGTTCGTCTTGGTTCTCCTTCCCCCTTGTGAAGTTAGAGGAGGTCAGACAGTACCCCCAAGCCGTTGTTACAGTTATGCCTTCTTGGAGAATTGACTTGTTCATCATTGGGTAATATCCCTCTTTATCTTTGTTAGTATTCCTTGTTCTGAATATTACTGAAGGCCATTCTCACTTTCTTTTTATAGATGTTTATGTGGTGCATATGTTTTCCTCTTGTTACTTTTAACCCATGGATGTCTTTATTTTTAAATTAACTAAAGTTTTTCTTCATAGATATCCATCATAATTGAGTCCTGCTTTTTTTTTTTTTTAAATCCAATCTGACAGTCTCTGCCTTTTAAGTGGAGTGTTTAGACCATTTATATTTAGTGTAATTATTGTTATGATTGGATTTAAAGCTACCATTTTGCTGGTAGTTTCCAGTGTCTCATCTCTTCTTTGTTTCCTTTTCTCTTGCTTTTGTTTGGATTGAATAATTTTTTATGATCACATTTTATTTCTGATTTTGGCTTATAACCCATGGTTCAATGAGGAAATCACAGGAGTGATTAGAAAGTGTTTTGAATGGAGTGAAAATGAAAATGCAACATATGAAAACTTGTGTGATGCAGTAATATAGCAGTGTTTGGAGATAAATTTATAGCATTAAATGCTTATAGTAGAAAGAAAAGTCTTAAATCAATGATTGAAGTTTCCACCTTAAGAAACAAGAATAACAAACGCAAAGCAAGGAAAAGGAAGGAAATGATAACAGAAATCTATGAAATTGAGAAAAGAAAAACAATAGGGAAAATCAGTGAAACACGAATTTGGTTCTTTGAGAAAAATCAAGTGAAGTTTGTCCCAGGAATGCAGGCTGATTCAACTTTCAAAAATTAATCAGTGTAATAATAACTTCCATGAAACTATGAATAAAAGGAAATTTTCTCAACTTGATAAAGGGCTTCTACAAAAAACCCGGTATTTAACATCATGTTAATTGTTTAGTAGAATTTACCAGTGAAGTCATCTGGACCCAGAGTTTTTTTTTCTTGTTGTTGGAACTCATTTTATGACTCCAGCTATACATACATGTACCAAAACCAAAGATGTTACAAGAAAACTAAAGACCAGTTATGTACATAGATGTAAAAATCTTCAACAAGATTCTAGCAAATCATATCCAATAATACATTAAAATAATAATAATAATAATACATTAAGAAGAAATGGGGTTATTTAGAATTTGGGGCTTTTTCAGCTGTCTTTCTGTTAACTCATTTATAGTTCAATTCTATCATGGTTCAACAACTTACCATGTATAATGTCCATTAGAAAATCATTAAAATTTTTTTTAATGGCTCAAATTAGAGTTTATCTTGGTGAATATTCCATGTGCACTTGGAAAAACCACTTTTTTTTTTTTTTGCTGTTGTAAGGTGGAGTATTCTATAAATGTCAATTAAGTCAAGGTTCATAGTGTTTTTCAGGTTTTTTATATTCTTACTAATTTTCTGTCTACTTATTTTGATCAATTTCTGAGAAAGATGTGAAGTCTCCAACAATTATTATGGATTAGTGTATTTTGCTTCAGTTGCATTTGTTTTTGCTTCATGTGTTTTGAAGCCCCGTTGTTAGATTTATACACATTTAGGGTTGTTATGTCTTCTTGGAAAATGGACTCCATTTATTATTATGTAATGTTTTTCTTTATCCTTGCTAATATTACTAGTTCTGAAGTGTATTTTGTCTGATATTAGTATAACTGCTCAAGCTTTCTTATAGTCAGTTTTTCCATGGTATATCTTTTTTCCATTCTTTTACTTTTAACCTAAATATATTTTTGTATTTAAGATAGGTTTCTTTTAGATAGCATGCAGTTGGGTCTTGCATTTTATCCAGTTTAGCAATCTCAAGTTTTTAATTGGAGTGTTTAAATGGTTTACATTTAATGTAATTATTGACATGGTTGTATTAAAATCTGCCATCCTGCTAGCTGATCTCTTTTTGATTTCTCTGGTTTTTGGTTTGTTTCTTTATTTATCTTTGTCTTTTTATGGATCTGCTTCATATTTGTTATGATTCTATTATCTCCACTATTGGCTTATTTATATCATTTAAAAATATTTTTAGTGGTTGCTCTGTGTTTTTTTTTTTTGGTCTTCTTTTCTCTCTGTACTTCAATTTGGGTTTTATCAGCATGCTTATAGGTTTACTGATCTTGTCTTATCTGATATTAGTACCATCCAGTGATTACTCATTTTAGATATATTTTTCATCTCTAGAAATTCTGTTTAGTTATGTTTTATATAACGTTTCTTTTCCCGTTATGCTGATGTTGAGCATATTTTTAATAACTTATATAAAATCCTCAACTGCTAATTTCATCATCTGTCATTTCTTTGGAAACCCTGGTGGCGTAGTGGTTAAGTGCCACGGCTGCTAACCAAAAGGTCGATAGTTCGAATCCACCAGGCGCTCCTTAGTAACTATGGGGCAGTTCTACTCTGTCCTGTAGCATCGCTACAAGTCAGAATCGACTCGACGGCAGTGAGTTTGGGTTTGGTTTTTTTGGTCATTTCTTCATTTTCAGTTGATTGAATTTTCGCCTAGTTACATGTTACATATTTTCCTGTTTCTTCTCATGTCTAGTAAATTTGATTGAATACTTGATATTATAGATATGATTTTACATTCTTCAGTATCAGGTTTTGCTCTATTTCTTTTAAAGGCTGTTGACCTTTATTCTGACAAGTGTTAAGTTACATATGGGGATGAACCTTATCCTTTTGTTTTTAAGCTGTTACAGGGTGGATTTGAGTAGACTGTAGGCTAGGAATAGTTTAGCCCCATTACTGAGGCCTAACCTCTCTGGTATATCCATTGAATTCTCCATGTATTCAACAGGGACTTTCCACTTTGCTCTGAGCTCTGACAACAGTGTGAGCCCTAGGAACTTTTCTGCTTATAGTTCTCAGTCACTCCAGTCTCATGAAGTTTTTAACCTATGTATGGGTAGCTTATTCAGCAACAGACTCAAGGTCACCCCTGTGCAGTTATCTCAAACTCTTTCTTTGTGTAGGTCTCTCTACTTTGCCCTGCAAATTCCAGCTCCCTTAGCCGTCTTAAATTTTGATTTCTGTCTACTCAACTCACTGCTCTTCTTGGGACCATGTTTCTTACACTGAGATCCAGAAACTGCCTCTAGGCAGAAAGTTAGGGCACAGGTCATCATTTGTTTTCTTTCCTAGGGGTAATCATTCTGCACTGCCTGTGGCCCAAATTTCTAAAACAGTTACCTCAATACGTATTTTAAATGTTTATTTCCAGTTTTCTGATTATTTACAACAGAAGTATAAGTGTAGTTCCATTGATTCTGTCATGTCTAGAAGTGGAAGTCTTGCTGACCGTTTTATTTTCAAAACTTTATTTTCCACCCATCATTAGCCTGAAATGCTTATCTCTGAATGCTAAGTAAGCCTGTTAATTGTTGTTGAAAATTTTAAAGTAACTAGTTTGTATACAGTTTTTAAAATGTGTCACTGATAAAAATTTAACTCTCTGCTGTAGCATAATTCTCCCTTTTATATTGTAGTCTGTTGCCTATTACAGGTAAGGAAACAAAAAACAAACAAACAAAAAAAGAGCTAGATGTAATACTGATTGTTAACAATTCTCAATTTTTAGACCTAAAGACTGTCTTCGGTCTATTATGAGGAGGGTGAACCATAAAGATCCTCATGTTGCTATGCAAGCTTTGACAGTAAGTGGTTTCATTTTAAGTTCTACCATAGAATTATCTGCCAAAATTGAGCTTTATTTTTCATTAACTCTTAACTTTTTATTTTATTCTTTTAGCTTCTGGGAGCATGTGTATCAAACTGTGGCAAAATTTTTCATTTAGAAGTGTGTTCAAGAGATTTTGCTAGTGAAGTAAGCAACGTATTAAATAAGGTAAGGAACATTATTTCCAGAAATGAGTTAAGGCAGTCTTCTATCTTCATATATTTTGTTGTATTCTCTACATTTTAAGTTGTGAAAGACTGTTGTTACATGTCATCCAGTCAGTTCTGACTCATAATGACCCGGTAGAATAGAGTAGAACTGCTCCGTAGGGTTTTCTCGGCTGAAATCTTTATGGGAACAGATCGCCAACGTTTATCTCCTGCAGAGAGGCTGGTGGGTTTGGACTGCTAACCTTTTGGTTAGCAGCCGAGCACTTAACCATTATGCCGCTAGGGCCCCTTCATGAAGGATTAGTCTGTACTTTTTTTTACCCTTTCTAGGCCCTGGCTATTCAGTATGTAAGTAAGTGTTCTATTTTGCTGACCCAAAACCAATGCCGTCAATCAAGTCTATTCCAACACATAGTGACCCTATAGGACAGAGCAGAACTGCCCCATAGGGTTTCCAAGGCTGTAATCTTTAGGGAAGCAGACTGCCACATCTTTCTCCTGTGAAGCAGCTGGTGGGTTAGAACTGCCAGCCTTTTGGTGTTTTAACCACTGCACCACCAGGGCTTCTCCCCGTTTTGCTGAAGAGAATAGAAAGTCACATAACTTTGAGAATTGCTTATTTTCAAGTTTATTAGAGTATATTTAATCTCTTTTTTCACTAAAAAAAGAAAACATGTATTTCTGTATCTGCTTAAATAATACCAGTATATTTTAGGCACAGTTTTTATAAGCATGTTTGTGGTCATAGAGGTATTTTCCTAATGTAGAATCCTTTAGAAATAACGTATGACACTATTAGTTTTTATCTTGACGTGAGCATGGCCACTGCCTTGGCCATCATAGAAATTTAATACTATACTTTCTAGTATAGTATTTATACCATATTTGTACCCATTCCAAAGAAGAGTGATCCAAAGAGTCTGGAATTATTGAACAATATCATTAATATCACACACAAGTATAATTTTGTTGAAGATCATTCAAAAGCAGTTGCAGCAGTACGTCGACAGGGAATTGCCAGAAGTTCAAGCTGGTTTCAGAAGAGTACGCGAAACGAGGGATATCATTGCTGATGTCAGATGAATCATGGCTGAAAGCAGAGAATACTAGAAAGATGTTTACCTGTGTTTTATTGACTATACAAAGGCATTTGACTGTGTGGATCATAACAAATTATGGATAACATTGAGAAGAATGGGAATTCCAGAACACTTAAGTGTACTCGTGAGGATCCTGTACATAGACCAAAAGGCAGTTGTTGAAACAGAACAAGGGGATGCTGCGTTGTTTAAAGTCAGGAAAGGTGTGAGTCAGGGTTGTATCCGTTCACCATACTTAATCATTTTGTATGCTGAGCAAATAATCCAAGAAACTGGACTGTATAAAGAAAAATGTGGCATCAGGATTGGAGGAAGACTCATTAATAACCTGTGATATGCAGATGACACAACCTTGCTTATTGAAAGTGGAAAGGACTTGAAACACTGATAAAGATCAAAGACCACAGCCTTCAGTATGGATTACACCTCAACATAAAGAAAACAAAAATCCTCACAACTAGGCCAGTGAGTAACATTATGATAAACGAGAGAAAAGATGGAAGTTGTCAAGGATTTCATATTACTTGTCACAATCAATGCCCATGGAAGCAGCAGTCAAGAAATCAAATGATGTATTGCATTGGGCAGGTTTGCTGCAAAAGACCTCTTTAGAGTGTTAAAAAGCAAAGATGTCATTTTGAGGACTAAGGTGTGCCTGATCCAAGCCATGGTGTCTTGAATCACCTCACATGCATTCAAAAGCTGGACAATGAATAAGGAAGACCGCAGAATTGATACCTTTGAATTTATGGTGTTAGTGAAGAGTATTCAGTATACCATGAACTGCCAGAAAAAGGAACAAATCTGTCTTGGAAGACGTACAGCCAGATGGCTCATTAGAAGCAAGGACTGCCAGACTTCGTATCACATACTTTGGGCATGTTATCAGGAGGGACTAGTCCCTGGAGAAAGACATCATGCTTGATAAACTAGAGAGTCATCGAAAAAGAGGAAGTTCCTCAACAAGATGGATTGACACAGTGGATGCAGCAGTGAGCTCAAGAAAGCAACGATTGTGCGGATAGCATAGGACCAGGCAGTAGTTCATTCTGTTGTACATAGAGTTGCTATGAATTGGAACCGACTTGATGGCACCTAACAATAACATAACACTCTCTAGTTAATTGCATTTTGAAAAGTAATTAAAGTTTTAAAATTTAAGGTAGTAAATAGTGTGTGAGCTTTCCTAGTAAAAAATGTGTGCATTCTAAAGGTAATTGTTTCTGACTTCCTTTTGTATTATATACTAAGAAAAAAATTTAAAAGGGAAAATGCCTCCTGTTTATCAGGGAAAATAAATATTTTCAAGGTTGAGTAGAAAAAAGCAGTTGAGAAGTGTGATAGGAATTTAAAATTCTGTACTTCTTTTCAAATGTTATGATTATATAATAATTCTTTCCTAGTTTCCTTGAATAACTGAATACTCAGTTACACTTATACATTGTTTCTGCTAATTAAAAAGATTCTTTTAACTTCCTGAATGTCCAGCAAAATGTTCAAGTATTTATGAAGATAATATCATTTTTCCTATAACTTAAGTGAAGATGTACACAAACGTGATTGTATAGTGGTATGCACAACTATTTTTAAAAACAAGAAACTATATATAGAAAGAAATTCTCTTTATTTTGTATGTATTTTACAATGAAAATGTTGGCTTTAACACGTGAAGGAGGAAAAGTTATTTTGAAGAAATGCAGTTCCCAGGATGGTTAATGTACAGTGAATCTCAAACACATCAGGCCTAGATAATGAAGCAACTTGGGGAAAACAACCATTAATGTACATTAAAAGTTAGGAATTAGATATAAAGGAACTGTACCATTTATTCTCTAATTCCAATTAATTTTTTAATTGGTCTGAAAAGAATAAAACAAACTATTTTTCTTTGTCTTCCTGATGTTCAAAGCTTGCTTAAGTATATATAATACTCTGAAAAGTCAAGTCTTTATGTTCTTCAAAAAAAATTATTTAATCTGTTTTAATTATGAAGTGAGGCATGTATGGTGGTGTCTGCTATTATTTTATCACAGTGTCAAAATAATTTTAGTTCATTTGTTGTAACCAACTATATTTGCTTATTTTCATGTGTTTAGTCTATTAATAGGGGTAATTTGTGATTTAAAAAGATATGTAACACTATATCATTTTTATATTTAAAGTACCTGTATTAAGTCATTAGATTGGAAATTGATACTTTTTCATTAACTTTTTTTCTATTCCTTAGGGTCATCCTAAAGTATGTGAAAAATTAAAAGCTCTTATGGTTGAATGGACAGATGAATTTAAGAATGATCCACAACTTAGTTTAATATCAGCAATGATTAAGAATCTTAAGGAACAAGGAGTTACATTTCCAGCTGTTGGCTCTCAGGTATTTTGTAAAATTATGTGTGTGTTACTGTTTGTTTCTCTAAAATCGTCATGTTTATTTGAATTTTTCCTTTTTTTCCTCCAAACCCAGGAGATTTTCACTACTTCAGAGGAATTTTTGTTAATAATCATCTTGTATTTGAAGGGACCAGGAAAATATAATAGTGTAGTATTAATGTGTTTCAACTTCCACTTTCCTGCTGTTTCTCCCTCTTTATAAATGAATTGGTTTAACGTTTGTTTTAGGTTAATCTTATTACAGTTTTAAAATTTTGTGTCTGGTTTTAATAATATAGGCAATAATTGCTTTATTATATCCAGTAACACTGACAGTCTTATGAAATGCTCTTAATGCTATAATTTCATATACAGAGAATTGCAGCTCAAAAATTAGGAGACTTTTAAAATTTAAGGATAAGTGTAGAGAGTCTCTTGGCTAGGAAGTTTATGAATACCTGTGTTAAGAATGAGAAGGAGATATAAGGGTCAAGGGGAAGAGGAACACATGAAATACCTTTTTGTTTAATAACACCTGACTGGTTGTTTCCCTCAACAGCTGTGATTGACTGAAAGGCTTACCTTTCCTTCAGTATATTAATACTCCATGAAAAGGTTATTTACCTAGTGGAATCAATCTCCAATTTATGTAATATAGAAAAAAAGGAAAGAATATGTTTTTTATTTCTTTTCTGTTCAGGGTAACCATCCCTTAGAATGCTCAGTGACTCCAGGAAGACTACAATGTGTGGTAATTTACCTTCTTTCCTCATACAGTGGATAGGAGCAGAATATAGTGAGTGGTGTGAAACCATAAACAAAATTCTCATCTGTGGAGGGGCTCAAATTCGGGGTTTTGACCGCTTCATATGTAGACTTTCTTCCCAAGGCATTTCTTGTTTATGTGAGTGCTTTAGAGATGGAAAGACCTGGAAATACATGTGGGGGAAGGAAGGAAACAAAGGATATTTTTCTTCTCACTTGAGAAAATTTGGTTTATGAATAGAATGATAAATTTTATCTTTGAGAAGTATTCATTCATAATTAATAGTTGACTTTTACTAAGAATAATTTCTAAAATCTGTATAACTGAGGAATAATTTTGTGCAGAATAATCCAAGATATCTTAAGTTCCTGACAACAGAAGCAATGTATATTTATCAAAGAGTAGACTTACTCCAGACATGCAAAGAGTGTAAACGTGTAGCTTCTATACCTGAAGAACCTATTCTAGAATTTTGTTACTCAGAGTGTGGTTGACTCACCAGCATCTTTGGCATCAGCTGGACACTTGTTAGAAAGGCAGCATCTCAGGTGGTGCTCCAGACCTTTGGGTTCGTCATCTCCAGAAGATTCCCAGGTGGTTTTGTATGCACATTAAAGTTTGCTTGAGTACAGCTTTTAATGCAAAAAAACATCGCATTTCAGTCCACAAAAGGAATTACTCTCGTAAGAAAAGGATGAATAATTCATTATTTGTTATGTAGGTTTGTTTGGTTAAGATAGATAGCTATGTGAAAAACTTTAGGGATCCTCTAATCTAATCCCCTCATTTTACAGATGAGGAAACTGAGACCCAGAATGGTTAAGTGACTTGCCCAGGGCCACAGCTAGTAGTTGACAGAGCTGGAACTAGAACACAGGCATCCTGACGCTCAGTCCAGTGTTCTTTCCACTACACGATCCTGCCTTCTGTTTGATATAGAGGTTAGTGGATATGTGTCTGTTCGGACTAGGCTTCAAGGACAAGAAGTGGAGTGAACACTGGCAAGAGCATTTACTTATTAATTGGTATAGAAATTGGATTAATTTCTTGTTCAAAAGATTCAAGACATAGGAGAGTGATAGTAAAGATTAAATTACTTTTCTTCTCTTGAGCTAGATGTTATAAAATATGTAAAAGCTAATTTTATTATAGTTGCTATTTTTCAGCTACAAGAAGTATATAAAATGTAGGTAAAGTAAAATATGATGAAGTAGAATTTTTCTTTTTCCTGACAAACTTATCACTGAAAAAGATGTGTGAAGAGCTCAGTGTTTTTGTGAAAAAATAAATCATCTGGGTTCAACTGCAGAAATCCTAGATTTTAAAGCCATTCAGTTACTTCAGTCATTGCTACATTTTAATCAGATGAGATTTTTATCAGAACATATTTAACAAAAAAAAAAACTTAAAATAGAAATATTTTTCTAAGTATTTTTAAATGAAAGTATAGAAGGAAATAATGTAAAAACACTAAGAAAAGTCATGCTTCAGTCACCTAACTTATGCTTCTGCAGTTCTCTTGGCACTAACTTTGACGGTAGAGGTAGAACTAGTGCTAGTACTGCTACTGAATTTGACTACTTACTAAAACAAGTGCTGTTGACACTTAAAACCTGATGATAGAAAGGAACTTCAAAAGGTGTGCAGTTCAGGAATGCTGGGCTTAATGTAGCTTGCTTTTTTGTACTTGCTTCTGGGCTGATTGAGATTCTTTGACAGACCACAGAAGGTCAATATATCTATATTATGAAATTCACTAAATCGTGAAAAAAAACTTTTTACATAAAATAAAAAAGGTTGTTTTTGACCAAGTATACCTTCAGTTTTCAGAACTGTATGATGATTAAAACATTATTTAACTAAAAAAGATTAGAACTAGTGATGGATCTCAGTTGAGAGTGATTAAACTTGTATTCTGTTGGATCACCTTTCTTTGGGATAGGCACAAATATGGATCTCTTCCAGTTGGTTGGTCAGGTAGCTGTCTTCCAGATTTCTTGGCATAGATGAGTGAGCACCTCCAGCACTGCATCCATTTGTTAAAACAGCTCAACTGATGTTCCGTCAATTCCTGGAGCCTTGTTTTTCGCCAATGCCTTCAGTGCAGCTTGGACTTCTTCCTTCAGTACCATTGGTTCTTGATCATATTCTGCCTCCTAAAACGGTTGAACATTGACCAATTCTTTTTGGTACAGTGACACCGTGTATTCTTTCCATCTTCTTTTGATGGTTCCTGGGTCATTCAATATTTTGCCCATAGAATCCTTCAGTATTACAACTTGAGGCTTGAATTTTTTTCTTCAGTTCTTTCAGCTTGAGAAATCCTGACCATGTTTGTCCCTTTTGGCTTTCTAAGTCCAGGCCTTTGCACATTTCATTATAATACTTTGTCTTCTCAAGCCACCTTTTGAGATATTCTGTTCAGCTTTTACTTCAGCGCATTTCTTCCTTTTGCTTTAGCTACTCTGTGTTCAGAAGCAAGTTTCAGAGTCTCTTCTGACATCCATTTTGGTCTTTTCTTTCTTTTCTGTCTTTTTAATGACCCTTTGCTTTCTTCATGTATGATGTCCTTCATGTCATTCCGCTTTCTTCATGTATGATATCCTGCATGTCATCCCACAACTCATCTGGTCTTCAGTCATTAGTGTTCAGTGCATCAAATCTATTCTTGAGATGGTCTCTAAATTCAGGTGGGATATACTCAGGGTCGTACTTTGGCTCTCGTGGACTTTTTAAAATTTTTTTCAGCTTCAACTTGAGCTTGCATATGAGCAATTGATGTTTGTTCCATAAAAGTAAAATTTTGCTAAAGATAATTCAAAAGCAGTTGGAATAGTACATCGACAGAGAGTTGCCAGAAATTCAAGCTGAATTCAGAAGAGGATGTGAAGCAAGGGATATCATTGCTGATGTCAGATGGATCTTGGCTGAAAGCAGAAAAATGTTTGCCTGTGTTTTATTGACTATGCAAAAGCATTCAGCTCTGTGGATCATAACAAATTGTGAATACCATTGCGAAGAATGGGAATTTTTGAACACTTAGTTGTGCTCATGAGGAACCTGTACATAGACCAAGAGGCAGTTGTTCAAACACAGCAAGGTGATACTGTGTGGTGTAAAGTCAGAAAAGCTGTGCTTTGTGGTTGTATCCTTTCACCATAGTTATTCATTCTGTATGCTGAGCAAATAATCTGAGAAGCTGGACTATATGAAGAAGAATGTGGCATCAGGATTGGAGGAAGACTCATTTACAACCTGCGATATGAAGATGACATAACCTTGCTTGCTGAAAGTGAAGAGGACTTGAAGCACTAGCTGTTGAAGATCAAACTCTACAGCTTTCAGTATGGATTGCACCTCAACTAAAAACAAAAATCCTCACAACCGGACCAGTAAGGAACATCATGATAAATGAAAGATTTAAAGTTGTCAAGAATTTCATTTTACTTGGAGCCACAATCAACACCCATGGAAGCAGCAGTCGGGAAATACAAACGACGTATTGCATTGGACAGGTCTGTTGCAAAAGACTTCTTTAAAATGTTAAAAAGCAAAGATGTCACTTTGAGGACTAAATGTGCCTTGACCCAAGCCATGGTGTCTTGAATCACCTCACATGCATTGAAAAGCTGGACAATGAATAAGGAAGGCCGAAGAATTAATGCCTTTGAATTATGGTGTTGGTGAAGAATATTGAATATACCATGAACTGCCAGAAAAAGGAACAGATCTGTCTTGGAAGAAGTACAGCCAGAATGCTCCTGAGAAGTGAGAATGGCGAGATTTTGTCTTATGTACTTTGGACATGTTATCAGGAAGGACCAGTCCCTGGAGAAGGACATCAAGCTTGGTAAAGTAAAGGGTCAGTGAAGGAGAGAAAGACCCTCAATGAGATAGATTAACACAGTGGTTGCGATGAGGGGCTCAAGCATAGCAATGATAGTGAGAATGGTGCAGGACTGGGCAGTGTTTCATTCTGTTGTACATAGGGTCACTATGAGTCAGAACCAACTCGATGGCACCTAACAACAACAACAACAAAGTTGTATTCAGTGAAATCCAAGGAGTTTTTTTCTTATCAGCATTTTTTTCACATTATGACAGATACTAAGTGAAGAATTTAGAACTTTATTTTACTATAATGTTGAATATTTTGCCCTTCATTCACTCAGCAAAGGTTTATTGATTACTTGTTATGTTTAGGCTTGTGGCCTCTGCCCTCAAGGAGCACACAGTCCGGTTGTGGAGAGGGACCTGTAGCCAGATTATAATAGAAACTGAAACTTATTGTCTGTTACTATATGCCAGGCACTGTTCTAAGCACTGTGCATTTGGCAATTTGAATATATTTTAAAATTCTATTTTTTTAATTGGTTGCTCTGGGGATTGCATATACATTCTTTGCTTTTTGCAGTCTACTTTGAGTTAATATTATATCATTTCATGTGTAATGTCAAAACCTCCAACTGTATAGGTCCATTTACTCCCCACTGCAACATCCTTTTTGCTATAGTTGTCATATGTATTATATCTATACTTATAAATCCCATGAGACAGTGTTGCATTTTGTTTTAAACCCCAACTGAGTCCCATCTCATCTGATTTTGGAAGTGACATATATTAATTTAATCCTCTCAACAGCCTATGAAGTGTAGGTGCGTTATTCTCACTTTACAGATGAGGTACTTGAGGCACAACAGGGTCAATGTACATAGGGTCATACAGCTAGACAGTGTTGGATCTGGGATTTGAACCCATGTCTGCCTGACTTCAAGCCTGCATTCTAACATCACTCATATGATAGTAGCTTGTTTAAAAGTGTCAGAAGAACATAGAGGAGGGAATGGTTGAGTAAGGCAATTAGGAATTTTTCGTAGGGATAACTATAACTGTTTATTGACTGTTGAGTTGAAACTCCTCAGGGAAAAAGGTGACTAGAACAGAAGGAGCCGAAGGAAGGAGGACGTTATAAGTAGAAGCAAATGTGTGTCAGAGTTGTGGAAATACAGGGATATAGACTGCTCAGCAACTGCTGGCAGTTTCTGGTAACTGGTAGAATGGTTGGAAATGAGGCTGGCAAGCTAAGCTGGAGTCTGATTTGCCTTGTTTCCTCATATACTGCCTTATTTACAAAATATGTTTAAGATAGGCTAGTAAATTCATATATTGTCCAAGTAAACTACTTGTATTTTGGTTTACAAACTAGGATAATTTTAATGAGCATGTATACTATTAAGTATAATATAAATCTGGGTTCCTAAAGATAGCATCCTAATTTTTGATCTGGAAAGAAACAGTAAAATATAACTGTTAACTAGATATTAAAAAAAATTTAAACTATTTGTTTTTACAGTAGTCATCTCCTTTCCTCTCCCAACCCCTTTCTGGTTTTATAATTTTTTACAAATTAAAAAATCTCCTCTATTTCATCTTTCTTCTCCAAGTTACATGCTGGCTGCTTTTAGTTTAACATCTTTGTACAAATCTGGGATAGTGAGCCTAGGCTATCTAAGTAACAGATTGCTCTCAGTCTCTTCCCAATTCTTTCTCTTCTCCCTCTTCTTTCAAAGTGGAGGCTGCTCCACTTTGAGTTTCTTTCATCTTCGGAAGTCTGGTAGCTTGATGAGAAGGGTCTTGAAAGTTCCCATATCAGGCACAGGTAGGAAAATTGGGGAACAGCTCTCACGTATTATGTTCCTTTCTTTGTGTTAGGCTGCAGAACAAGCAAAAGCAAGCCCAGCTCTGGTAGCCAAGGATCCTGAAACTGTGGCTAACAAAAAGGAAGAAGAAGATTTAGCAAAAGGTATGTATATTAACTTGCTAAGGGTGGGAATAAGCTAGGTCCATCTGATTTAATAGTTTTTTTCTTTTCTGAGACATTTAGAAATGAAACAAGTAGGACTTTACAGCCAAAGCTGAGATCTACTTTGTTCCCCTCCTCAGTGTCATTTTCTTCTTCTCTTCCTCAGAGACAACCATTATCATGTGTCTGTATCCTTTCAGTCTAGGTTTTTGTAATATTTTTACTACACACATATATCCATGAGCAATATAAAGTACCTTTTTGTATCCATTAAATTCTTTTTTTCATAAATGATATTATACTCTAGGTGCCATTCTATAACTTTCTTTTTTTACTCAACCTTGTGTTTGAGATCTATTCATAATGAGACATATACATCAAGTTTATTGTTTAACTACTGTATAATATTCTAATATATTAATAAATATACTTTATCTGTCCTACTGATGAACATTTGGGTTGTTTCTAATTTCCTACTGTAACAAATAATGCTACAGTGAATATCCGTGTATATGTTCTCTTGTGTACATATATGTGATTTCTCCTTTATGTGTGACTAAAAGTGGATTTGTTAGATCATAGGTTAGGTACATCTTCAGCTTTGCTAAATGATTGTGTGATTTCTTCTTCCATCAGCAATGAATGAAAGCTTTTTTTAAAAAAAATCTTCTGACAACACTTGATATTGTCAGAGTTTAACTTTTGGGAATATGACAGGTTTGAAATTATGTCTGATTATTTTAATTTTTGTTTCCTTTATTACTACTGAAGTGGAACACTTTTTTAAGTTTATTGACTATTCTGGTTTCCTCTTTGGTGAATTGCCTTTTTTTTCCCCCCAAGTCTTTTTTTTTTTTTAATAAGCATATGTGGAAAGTCTTTATTTTGGATATTACTCTTTTGCCTGTTAACAACTATTGTAAATATTTTCTCCTGGTTTTTGACTTACACTTTAAGTTTGATTGTAGTGTGTTTTATCAAACAAAAGTTTTAAATTTTGGTGTAGTTAAAATTTTTGCTTTTCTGTTAGGAATTTTGCTTTTGTGTCTTGTTTAAGATATTTTTCCCTACTACAAAGTCTTGAGAGATATTTTCCTATATTTTTTTCTAATGGTTTTATTTTCTTCACATTAGGTCTTTTATCAACCTAGAGCAGGGGTGAACAGAAAGAAGGGGTTGTGGTTGGGTCGAAACCAGGATAGTGAAGTATGTTAAGATTATATTGCAAGAGTCCAGGTGACACATGGTGATAGCCTGCCTTGAGAGAGTGGTGGTGAAGACAGAAAGAGCAGACATATTTGAGATCCATTTTGAGTGATTTGTTAAGTGAGTGTTTATTACAGTTATTTCCGTATTCCAGTTCTTAGACTGGTTTCATAAGAATTACCTTTGGGGCAATAAAATACAGATTTTTAGGAACTATATTTGATTTAGTAAGTCAGCAGTGAGGCTTGGAACAGTGACTTCCCTAGTGATTTTGATTATCGTTTTTTGGAACATAAGCTAGATGAATACGTTTAAAAGGTGGAAGAAAATATATCAGCAGCTGAATTAAAAAAATTTATGTATCTAAGAGTTTACATCTTTTTATTACCCAGAATAGAATAATTTGAATTGTATCCTTTCAGTAAAAATAAGAGTCGTCATGGTGTGCAGTATTTTTGTTTATGTATTTATTTATAACTATCAATTATGAATAAATGAATAAAATTGACAACATGATTTTTAGTCAGTGCATTATATTAGGATATGTCATAGTTTCCAGCTAGAGTATTGAAAAAATACTTCTAAATACTTTGAGTTGTCTTCCTATTTCTTTTCTTTACTTCTTTGGATTCTTGGGTATAGTAACATTTTAGGTCTTTTAAAACTCATTGCTTTTCAGCTATTGAGTTGTCCCTGAAGGAACAAAGGCAACAGCCAACCACACTTTCCAGTTTGTATCCAAGCACATCCAGTCTCTTATCTAACCATCAACATGAAGGTCGAAAAGTCCGTGCTATATATGACTTTGAAGCTGCTGAAGATAATGAACTTACTTTTAAAGCTGGAGAAATTATTACAGTTCTTGATGACAGGTAAAAAGTCTAAAATTAATATTCATATGAAAATTGAACATTCATTTGGAAATCTATGACATTATTTCTGATTTTGTATTTCACATTCTTCCTGTTAAATGTAGTAACCAGATATCATGAAAAGGAAAATTGACCCAGATATTTTCTTTATGATGGTTGCTCTGTGTTATATTGTCTAGATTCTTATTTTGTGGTTTCATTTTTTCATTTCTGTTAAATAGGTTTTTGTTTGAGAGACCTAGTTCTATCCATTCGTTTTTGATTCCATCTAAGAATTAATATCGGTTGTTTAATTAGTTAAAGAGTTAATATTTTAGAAAATACAGAGTATGTGTATGTATTTATGGAATCTGTAAGAAACATAAATACGTTACTCATTTTCATATGAACAATTCTCATAGGAAAACGGTATATCCATGTGGATCAAATTCATTATACGTGGAGTTATAAGTTTAGATCATCATAGGACGGTTGATACAGCACATCTTTTTTTTTTTTTACTATAGCTTTATGATATTTAACTTTATTGAAAATTAATTGTTACTAATAATGAAGTACTAAAATTTGGAAGTGGTTTTTAAAAAGAAATTAGATTTAAGGTTTCTTGAGTGGAAGAAAATGGGGTAAAGTTTGAGCTTGGTAGCTGGAAATTGGACAAAATCCTGAGCATTTATTTACTCAAAAATTTTTACTGAGTGCTTGCTAGCTTTCCATGTACAAGGTACTGGGGATATAGTGGTGAACATAGGTATATCCCTGAAAGTGTGTTCCTTGTAAATGTTTTCTGCTACATATGGTGTTTTCAGTCATATGTATTCTGTTGAGGGGCTTGCCAAGTATGGGGGCCTTTTTGGGGGAGAGAGTTCATAGCTTTTTATTAGATTCTCTAAATGTTCACCAACCTTCAAAAAAACAAAGAACTGTATGTTTAATAGCTTCCTATCTTCCCTGAGGCCTCAGTTCTTATTTATAATAAAGATATATTCATGACCTCTTTCATTGGATTATTGTGAGATTCACATCTGGCAATAATGTCAGTTAAACAGTATAGAAAATAAAGATTAATAGAGACAAGGATCTTGATTATAGTAAAACACTCTTTTTTATTCATCATAGTGACCCCAACTGGTGGAAAGGTGAAACCCATCAAGGCATGGGGTTATTTCCCTCTAATTTTGTGACTGCAGATCTCACTGCTGAACCAGAAATGAGTAAGTATTTTTCAGTATGTCAGTGGATGATAATCCATAACTCTCCTCTTAATGAAAGTTAATTAAGCTTAACTTTCTGGAGCAGTGACTTGCAAATGTTAGTACCTCCAAGGTGTCTTAAAAATGCAGCTCCCTAGACACATTATTTACCAGAAATTACCTGTCTACCAAGATTATCTTTAGATAGACTGTGGACTTTTTTCTTTATCAGATGTATATAGGTGCGATTGCAAATCCATTAAAAGTGTTATGGAATTCATACGTTATGTACTTTCCTTATCATCAGTTGATAAAAATATGACGAACGCAATGTAACCTCAAAGAGGATTCTGCATCTCTTCAAAGATTGGGACCATTTCTCTAGGGTCTAGCCCCAGACTCAGAAGCAGTGGCCTCTAAGCAGCATAATGGCTTTCCTAAGCCCCCATGTCAGATATTCACAAGGAGCCATACTAACAGTTATTTAACTAATCATATAAATCGTTTTTTGTTTGATTTCTAAATCTTTGCCAGCTACAAGAAACGAACTAGAAAGAGAGGCCATGGAAGAAAAGGGGTATTAGTGACAGGCATAATAGTTGCAGGAGATGTAACTTTCAATAGCCTATAAGTATTGGACAGATCACTATATATCCATATAGTACTGTTCCTAAAGAATCTTCATAGTGATGACTTTGAGTCATCAAGAAATGTTTGTTGTAACCTCCCTCTCTTTAAGAAAACAGAAATATGTTTACGTCTAGAAAGATTTTATGAGCAATTGAATTGTTTAGAATTCTTAAGAGTTTTTGCATATAAGTTGGTAACTACTTATCTGGCGAAATGTCTTTCTGTAGTACCAGATAGAAGTGATCAATAGAAGTTTAAACCAAAGGATGCTTGGGTCTTTTTTAGTTTACAAAAATTTTAGGAAAGGGTCTTTGTTTTAGTCATCCTAGCATCTAGTAGTGAATCTTACCCAGAATACATACTGCATAAATATTTATAGAATGAGTGATATATGTAACAGTAAAGAGATAACTTTTCTGTAAAAACATAAGAGCATTTCTCTTTCAAGAGAAGGCTTTAACAACAAACCAGAGATTACAGATCTGTAATAAAATGATACCCTCTCTTAGTTATTGCCAGTATGTCTTGCGTCACTTTTGTAGAGACAGATTTCTGATACCCATTCTTTCAATGAAGTTCTTGTTAGAACCCAAAAATGTGTTGTAGAACCTTGCTTGAGTGGCAGTACGCAGTGTGTCACCTTTTTAACCTGGACTGGTAGTGTTGTTTCTTTCTTTTTCCTTTTTTTTTCGTCCTGAGTCAGTTGTTGGAAAGTCAGTTGTCTTAGACTTTGGTTCAAGATCTCATGTCTCAAGTCCGAGATTTCATGTCTTATTTTTTTCCATCATCCAGCAATGCAGCTTCAGTATGAGTGTTCTAGTTCTTCTCATATATTTCCCTCTGAACCATCTCAAAGAGAGATATATGCACATAGGCTTGTGTAATGGGGTTACAGTTTTCAAGATTGGAAAAATGCTAGCATGAGCCCCATAACATTTTTTTTTTTTTTTAAATGGGGAAATAGAGGTCTACTTCATTTAACCTGCCAAATGGAAATACCTGCCCTACTTAGCCCAGTTTTGTTTTGTAGATCTAATAAGGTATAATGAAAGTCCTTTGCATTGTATAATACGTACATGCATACACACACATACGTATATATTTGGGTTTATTTCACTCTTTTTCTAGTTTTTTCAATGTGGAAACTTAGATTATTGATTTTTAAAATTTTTGTGAAAAACTATCTGGAATGTAAGACAAGGCTAATATATAAATTACAAATATGCTTTATAAGTATAAAATATAAGTACATTATAAGTATACTTTATATCAATATAAATAATCAGATTATATATATACATATATATATATGTATTATATATTTATATATATAAATACATGTTGATAATATTTGTCCCTATAAGAAAAAGGGCTGTAAACTGGTGCATAGTCAGTCAGCCATTAGAATATGAAATCTGCCGTGTGTTCTCTTATGGGTCACAACCAATGCCGTGCTATCCCATCTTTGTACTTGTTAATAGCTCAAGATACAAAGAGCAAAAGTATCTGTTGTAGATGTCTCTTTTCCCTCTGGAGAGAATGAGATCAGCTGAAGCTTGTTTTGGTATGTAGCTTTTTGCTTTATGACAATTTGAATGGGGTGAATATATTTCTTACATTGGAAATTAAAATGTTTTCATTTCATAAGGAAGCACACAGTGCAGACTAAGTGATATGACTTGTTCTCAGTGAAATCACAGGCCGGATTCCAATAGTGTAGGCCACTAGAGCCAGATAGGCATTGATCCAGGCTTTGCCATTTGTTAGCTAGCCACTCCTTAGAAACCCTGTGGGGCAGTTCTACTCTGCCCTATAGGATCTCTATGAGTTGGACTCAACTCGATGGCAACAGGTTTGGTTTTTTTGGTTTTTATCTAAGAGTTTTTAATCTTCCTAAGGCACTGTTAACCTCATCTATAATATGGACATATCTCATAGGATTGCTTTGTGATTCTTTGAGAAATGCAATACTTCACCAGACATATTTAATAGTTTAATGAATATTATTTCCCTTTCTTAATTCTGCCTCTCTCCCATCTTGATTTTTAATATTTTTATGAATACTGACCTCATTAATACAAGGATGAAAAGTAGTCGTTACCCAGAAAGTAAGTTTATTCCTTTAAGCTATATATGTCTCTCTGTATTGTTTTAGAGAAAGTTAATTGCTTTATTAATAATTCATATTTACTAATTAATGTTAAATGATATTTAAAGATTGGTATGGTGGGCAGTCTAGAAGGGTAATGGTTTGTTGATCCTTTAATAAACTACTTTTTCATCACAAACATAATGTTAACTAGAAAATGCAGACTGATTTAGTGGAAAATTCAGATCCCTGCCAAAGCCACTCACAAAGTTCTCCATTGGCCTAGACGTCATTCTCGTAATAAGAAGTCTATGAGTGATATGCCAGGAAATATCTAACTAATTTTCCAGTTTATTACATTAAAGTAGCATAATTTTTTGATCAAAAGAGATTTCTCTTTGAAGGGACTGGTAATTTAAAAAGAGTATTTATTTGACATTGTAGAGTTTATTTATGCCATTGCAAAACTTTGCTTTTTTGTCCACTAATTTACTAAACTCTGATATATGGTAGGTGATTAATCTTTGTTTTAGGAATTTTACTTTTATTTTTAATGAATTATCTATTATGAAAAAATAGTCTTTAAAAGAGAAAATTAAGAAACCTTGACAGGATTTCATAAAGTAATGTTCTGTCATTATTGCCTAAATCTATAACCCAAATATGCCTTAAATTGAGTCTCTCAACTTGGTAGGAATATAAGAAAAAGTCAAATCCTTTCTTGGAACTTACAGTGTTTTAAAATAAAATTTTAAATTTATTATAAGGAAAAGATAAATGTTACATATTTTACAGTTAAAACGGAGAAGAAGACGGTACAATTTAGTGATGATGTTCAGGTAGAGACAATAGAGCCAGAGCCGGAACCAGCTTTTATTGATGAAGTAAGTGCTTCCTCGGTGATAGCAGTTGTTATTTTGTATTGAATTGAATTGTTTTTCTTGACTTCTTAAAAAAAAAATGATTACTTGAATAATGCATGTATTTTTTTGTTGTTATAAGAGTTCAAACACGATAGACTAAGCAGAGATTCTTCTTGAAAGTTCCTCTCCAATCCCATTTGTCTTACCATCACATTTAATTCTTTCTCATTATTGTAGTTATATTCTGTTTCCGATTCCATAGAATGGACTTACCGTATTATATTTAATTATTCTGTTGATGGATGCTTAGGTTGTTTCTAGGTCTTTTCACTATTACAAACAGTATTGTAGTCACCTTTATTTTTGGAGCATCTGTCTTTTTGTTTCTTTAGAGTTTAGAGTAGATATCCAGGAGTGGAACCTCTGAGTTAAAGGGACTTTGTGTTTTCCATTTAATAGATACTGCCAATTTGTTCACCAAAATGGGAATTTACACTCCCATCAATATTATGTGAGAGTACCTGTTTCCTCATATACCCAACAATGGATATTAAGATTGCTTGCATATTACTCAGGAAGAGATGGGTCACTGACTATCTGTTGAAAGAATAAAATGAATTCCTGTTCTTAAAAATAAAATGTCACTAAATTATTTTTATGTAAACCATTTCGTAAAAGCAGTGTTCTGAATATTATTGGGAATAACTCATGGTTCCTTCTTGGATTGAACACATTCTAGTATTTGGGAAAAAGCTTATGCTAATTTTTATGATAAATATCTTCATATGTCATTGCTGCATCTATATACAATAATATGTATTTTCAGTGATTGTGTTTGAAAATATAGTGTCAACTTGGGACAATTCATATACTTTTTAGAGCCAGATAATAGTACCTAAACTTATGTTATTGGGAGCTCAAACTTAAGACTCTTTTGATTAAGTTAATTTATTCTATTTACTTAAACTTTTCAGAAATTTTTGCTGTTATTTAAATAAAAAATAAAAAAATTAAAACTGGTTAACTTTTCCAGCTTTAAGCATGTTTCTACTCATAATCATTAATGGTTTGCTTTTTCTGAGTAACAATATTAACATAACTGTATTGAATTAACTGAATAGTACACTATTAAATTATGGAGCTAGCAAACCATCCAGAATTTTCTGAGTATTACATTGTATAAATCAGGGATCGTCAGACTATCACCTGCAGGCCGTATCTGGCCCATTGCCTGTCTAGTAAATAAAGTTTTATTGGAACACAGCCATGCTTATTTATTTATGTACTGTCAATGTCTGCTTTTGGGCTACAATGGCAGCTTTGAGTAGTTGCAACAGAGACGGTATGGACCTCAAAACCTAAAACATTTACTATCTGGCCCTTACAGAAGAGGTTTGCTGACCTGGAGTATAGATCATTTTCAGAGAATTTTTTCAGTCCATAAGTACTCTTTCCTAAAATTTATCTCCTGGAGAACACTTCCTATCATCTCTTGTCATTTCGTTCCTCACTTCTCCTTTTACGTTCTCCCTCTCCCACTTTACAGAAGAAAGGCTTACTCCTTATCATCCTGAAGCTTACTGTGGTATACTGATATGGATTATATAAATTTTCATGGAAATTTCAAATACTGGTATTGGTATTAAGAAAGTAATGGCTCTAATGACTGAGTAGCACAACTCAGAACAATTTCTTATTTTTTTTGTTATCAACAAAATAGGAGGACCAAAATGAGTTGTCATCTAGTAGATCATTAAAAGTAATTTTTAATGACAAGTCAGTGTGGTTTCTGGCATAAAACTCAGAAGATATTCAAAGAATTGAATGATACTGCTATAATAAAACTCATTTACTTATATAAACATGATTTCTCAGCACATTCATCTTTAAAAACAAACAATAGGAATAGAATTGATGCTGAACCCTGGTTCATTTTATTGTTCAAAATTTGAAGTATGGTTGTGTTTTTGTTTTTTTTTTTTACCTATTAGGAATTGTTAACTTACCCAGATGAATTTTTCTGATATTTAGAGCATTGTCACAATGCTTATGCATATTTTTATTGCAAACATATTTGATAAGGAAATCAATAGAAGGCCTTCAAGTATACTATATTAGGCTAACATTTTGTAAGGGAAATTGAATGGATATATGTTAAGGTCAAGGAGAAACATGAACCATTTGAAATTCCTGACAGAGATTGCTCATTGTTTTTTTTAAATGATAATGGTGGGTACAAATTGCTATGGTGTTTGAATTCTTTGGATTATTTAAAAGTGTGTTTAAAAGACTGTTTTATTTTAAAATGTTAATATTTCAAATGTGCTGTAAATCATATCCTTTGTAACATTTTACCCTATTAGTGAAAAGTGTGATGTCATTTTTAAAATATGAGTAGGGTCTTTAGGTTTGTAGCATTCTTTTAGAGGAGACAGGAGTAGAAAGTTTGAAGACCACTCATAGAGAAACAGACTCTAGAGACTGCGAAGAGCCAAGGAATTCAACTGGGTCAGGGAAAGCAGTGTTTGGCCGATTGCATTGCACAAGAACATGCATGTAGGGTCGGACATGTGGTTTATCTAGAAACCCTATCTCTGCCAGTAGATAATTTGAAATAGGGAATAGTGGTTCATAAACCAATGAAACAAAAATTATCCAAGTGTTAGTTGTCTCTCTTATTTTATCATATTTTTTGTTGTTACAAACTGACATATGCCTTCATTTTTTAGACTACTTAAAATGAAAATTATGACTTTTATATTGAAAATAGTATCCATTTCAAAATGCAGAATTCTTTTGACTTGGGAAATGTTTTTTTAACACTTGTAAAAAATTTGATGAATTCATCTCAAATTTTATTTGGTTTTAAATGACTGCTTTGCTTAGAAATTGCTAGTCTAAATTGCTTACCATGTGTACTTATGTATAACAATAGCATGACCATTTGTAATTAATTTAGTATAGCCATCCGTCGGTACCCTTGGGGAATTTGTTCCAGGACCCTTGGAGATACCAAAATCCTCAAATGCTGAAGTCCCTTATATAAAATGGTGTAGTATTTGTATATAACCTATGCACATCCTCCCATATACTTTAAATCATCTCTAGATTATTTATAATACCTAATACGGTGTAAATGCTATGTAAATAGTCGTTACACAGTACTGTATTGTTTAGGGAATTAATGACAATAATAATATTGTTCAGGTGAACAATGCTCAAACGAGTACTGGAAAGAGACTGAGCTATAACAGAAATACCACAAGTGGATGGCTTTAACAAACAGAAGTTTATTCTCTCACAGTCCAGTAGACTACAAGTCCACATTCAGGGCATCAGCTCCAGGAGAAGGTTTTCTCTCTCTGTTGGCTCTGTAGGAAGATTCTTATGATGCATTAGTCTTCCCTTGGTCTAGGAGCATCTCAGTGCAGGAACCTCTGGTCCAAAGGACACGCTCTCCTCCTGATGCTGCTTTCTTGGTGGTGTGAGATTCCCATGTGGCTCTGCTGGCTTCTCTCTTTTATATCTCAAAAGAGATTGGCTTAAGACACTGTCCAGTCTTGTATCCCTCATCAGTGTAACTGCTGCTCATCCATCTTATTAGATCATAGTGATTGAATTTACAACACATAAGGAAATCGCATCAGACTACAAAATGGTACACAATTATACAATACTGGGAATCATGACCCAGCTAGGTTGACAGATATTTTGGGCGGACACAATTCAATCCATGACACATACATATAAATACATATGATGGGATGGTTTCATTAGCTCCGTTGGCCCTTACAACAAACGAGTCTCTGAAATAGATGTGAATCATTGATTTGAAACACCTTCCAACTTTTCTCACATACAAAAAAAGAGAAACCACAAGTCTTCCTTCTTCCCTTTGTGACAAACTGAAGCATTGGTGGAAAGAAAATGTAGAATGGCCCTACTTAGAAGGAGAACAGCTATAATATAGCTGAGTTGTTAGTCATAAGCACTGACTTCTTGAGAGGGATGTTACACCTGTCTGTTTGGCAAGGGTACAGCTGCTTCCAAACAGAATTTCACCGAAATCCACTAGCATGACACAGGAGATTGAAGAACATGTGTAAGTGTAAATGTGGCTCTGTTTTTTTCTTATTTTAGAGAATCTCTGTTAGCAGTTTCAAAAATGAGTAGGAAGAGCTTTCAAGCCTCTGACTTTATATGGTACTAGAGAATACATGGATATTAAATATATAAAAGCAAAATTGGTGTCTCCATAACTATGAATTACAGAAATTCTCTATTCATTTATAAAGATTTGTTACTTTTTATATTAACTATTTTACTCCCATAGGATAAAATGGACCAGTTGCTACAGATGTTGCAAAGTACAGATCCCAGTGATGATCAACCAGATTTACCAGAGTTACTTCATCTAGAAGGTAAACCTTGTTTTCCCTTTATCTTGCAAACAAAAAGTAGAGGTTATATCTAGTGTTCTGTTACAGACTGGTTTTGTATTTAAATAAAATTAAGAAAAATATAAAGAATAAGTTACATTTCTCTCTTTTCCTTGACCCAATTTCGCTTTTATACGCAGTTTAAACCTTTGGTTGAATTTGAATTTGTATACCTTTTTGTCCAAATTAAATATTTTATTCAACATTTTAGGGTCGTGTACTAGTATTTCTAGATTTTGAGATCAATATTTTAGATTAAGTTGTCACCAACTTACATTAAGAAAATCAATTTTAGGATTGAGATTAATTAATACAACTTTTATTACTCCAAATTAAAACCTTTATTCCTTAGATTATGTGAGTATCTATCAAAGATTTGCTTTCTTTTGCTGTGTTTTCTTACATTTCTTCAATTCTTGTCATCTTAGCAATGTGTCACCAGATGGGACCTCTCATTGATGAAAAGCTGGAAGATATTGATAGGTAAAAAAAGAACATGTGTTGCATGTATGTTGTATACTTTCTTCCCTGAAGTTCTTTCTAAACTACATGATGGGATATATCTGCATTTTTTTTTTTTTTTTTTTTAAGATAAGCCAAGGGAACTAATTCTGGTTCACTTGTTTTCTGCTTGTGCTTTGACCCATCAGTGCTTGGCTAATGTAATCACCTTTTGCTAACTTGACATTACCAGTGCCAACAAATGCCCCCATCTGTTAGTAACTAGGGAAGCCTAAATATTTCAAGGTACAATGAATTGTTATAAGCTAGAGTTTTCCCAGCACAGTGCCTAAACCTTAAAGAGGTTTGGTTGTCTTGGGGCTAAAATACAGGATATCTTCTGTCACAAAGTTAATGTTTTAATAATGTTTGGTGTTGTCAGTTCTACTATTTTTGACATTTTAATGTGTGTGAGTATTTAGAACATTGTATCATATAAACAACTATGTTTCAAATTACTGTGTCATGTTTCAGAAAACATTCAGAACTCTCAGAACTTAATGTAAAAGTGATGGAAGCACTTTCATTGTATACCAAGTTAATGAATGAAGATCCAATGTATTCCATGTATGCGAAATTACAGAATCAGCAGTATTATATGCAGTCATCTGGTGTTCCTGGTTCTCAGGTAAGCTTTTAAAAACTCAGGTATATCCGTTTACATTTGACATTATTTGGCATAACTTTTTTTTTTATAAAATTCGAAACTTTATGAAAGTAATGTTTAGAATGAAAATAAAGTTTAAAAGAATTTTTTACTTGACAGATAAAATGCATGATAAACTAAGTAGGACCCCCCCCCCTTTTTTTTTTGCTTTTGTCCAGGGATACACATCACTATCTCACCCATCAAGCTTTTTTTTTTTTTTTTGGCCCCTTTTCAAAAATACAGATACTTTGGCTCTACCCCATACCTACTGAATCAGTCTTCAGGAGTAAAGCCCAAATATCTGTATATTTTAAAAGAGTCATAGCTAATTATCTGGTTAAGAACTACAGTTTTTGTCCTCTGAGTAGAATTTCTAATTATTAGTAAATTCTTCTGAGTATCTACAGTTTTTTAGTGAGCTATATTAGCCTGTTATTTTTTCCCCTCCTGTATGTGAGAATGCATGTAATGCAACATAGAGCCTTTTTTTTCTCTGTTCACCTCAAGCAATTATTGCAAGAGCCCCTTTTCTACAAACTCAATAACTTCAGGTTATAGGAAGTTATAATTAGCCAGACATTCTGTTTTATCCATGCAGAGTGGTCACAGACATTACTCAGAATATTTTTTTAATTGATCCATGCCCTACTAGCTTCTTCCTCTGAAATGGGGGCCAGAAGCCTGGACATGAGCAGCCAGGCTTGAGACACCTGGGACTAGGATGATACCTGCTCAACGGTCTTGATTATCAGTTTGTGCAAAACAAAACAACTTTGTGTTTAATTTGAGAAGTACAATAAAGTACAGTTATGAGCACTGGTTTGGATATGTTTGTAATGAAGACCTTTGAATTGCGGTGTTTAGTGTGTCACGTAGTTTAACAGAAGTGCTAGGATAATTGTACTTGTTTCCTGGTGATAGTGTTACTCTCTGGACCCATGGTAACAATCTTACTACATACAAAATGGAGTTCTCTTTTTCAAATGTGTGAAATGGAAGAATTAATGAATACTATAAAAAATTAGAATGTTATATGTGTTTAAGGTTTTGGGCATTTAAGCATTCAATCTTTTTAGATTTAAAAAAAGAAAAACACTTTTTTTTTGGTTACAGGAATAGGCAAACTATGGCCTGAGGGATGAATCTAGCCTGTCTCCTGATTTTATAAATAAAGTATTTTTTGGAACATAGCCACAGTAATCCTTTAAACACATTGTCTATGGCTACTTTCTATATTGCTAGAGTTGAATAGTTGTGCCAGAGACCATATGGCCCACAAAGCCTAAAGTAGTTACTATCTGGCCCTTTACAAAAAAAAGTTTGCTGACCTCAGCTTTAGAAAGTTTATTTGCTTTGTGTTCAATAAACTGCAGTGTAGGAAATGTAGATTGTATCCACAGGTAAATGTAGCCTATTGATATAAAACAATGAACTCAAATACACTACCTAACTGTCCTTTGGAGCCCTGGTGCACAGGGGTTAAGAGCTCAGCTGCTAACCAAAAGGTCCGCAGTTTGAATCCACTAGCCGCTCCTTGGAAACCCTATGAGGTAGTTCTACTCTGTCCTGTAGGGTCACTATGAGTTGGAATTGACTCGATGGCAATGAGGTCTTTTTTTTTTTTTTAAACCACCCTTTAGGGTTCATTTTAAGGGGGTACCTAAAATATCAACTCAAAATAGAGATTATATTAGCATAAAGTTTCAAGAGAATTTCTTTTACTACTTCTGTATGGAAATAAACATGAATTTAGCTAAGTTTACCCAAAGAAAAAAGTTACCAGATGCCTGCTTCAGTGGAAAATGTTTAAATGCCTGTCAACAGAAGTGATTTTTAAAAAACCCAAAATTCCAGGGATGTGACTGTTCTTTTTATAACTGAATACCTCTAGAGAGAAAGTTTGATATACCAATTCAAATTTTAATAACATTGACTTGTAAGAAAATAGTCTATTTCTTCTCTAATGTGCTTTATCATTAACTGTTCTAGGTATATCCAGGGCCTCCTCAAAGTGGTGCTTATCTGGTTGCAGGGAATGCACAGATGAGCCACCTCCAGAGCTATGGTCTTCCCCCAGAGCAACTGTCTTCTCTCAGCCAAGGAGCGGTTCCACCACCTGCAAACCCACCCCTTCCTAGTCAGCAGGCTCAGACTTCTTATCCTAAGTAATTTGATTATTGACTATTGTTTAGAGTTAGTGCTATTGAAACTCTTAAGTGCTCCCTGATCATCTGTAACCGTAAGAATGGGATAAGAAAAAACAGTGGTAGACAGCACTGTTGCCAAATGGTCAGCCCTGTTTGTGATGATGAGTGGGGTCTACAGGAACTCCTGAGGTATTTCAGTACTAGCCAATAAGCTACTGTCTGTTTTACTGACTCACTAAACAGCTCTCTCTTGTTTTTAGTGCCATAGTTTTTATATTCCTATCGTAAGTTTTTATGGTTTTGCTTTTATTTGAATCTGTGATTATGTTTGATAAAGACTTTAATGAAACTTAAATTTGATAATTTATCATTTCTCCAAAAATTTGATATAAAATCTAAATTTTTTGTCATTATTGTTTTAGAATTTATACTTCTGGGCTACGTCTTAAAGACAAATAGTTCCTTTTTGCCTTATATTGGAATTTAGTTTATATTACAGGAAGATCCACCAGTAGAAAAGAGAAGGTACAAGCAGCTATATGTCCCTGTGGTTCATGAGGCAAGTAGTTGAATATGACATGATAGAGGCCCAGTTTTTAAAAGATTTTTCATCATTTACTTATAGTGCTCCCTTGTCATGTAATTAAAGAAGCCCTGGTGGTGCAGTGATTAAATGCTTGGCTGCTTGTACCCACCAGCCACTCCACAGGAGAAAGATGTGGCAGTCTGCTTCTGTAAAGATTACAGGCTTGGAAACCCTGTGGCCAGTTCTATTCTGTCCTACAGGATTGCTATGAGTCGGAATCAACTTGATGGTAACAGGTTTGGTTTTGGTTTTATCATGTCGTTAAATGCTTATTAATTATGTAGATGCCGTTTCTGATTCAGTGGGACTCTAAACTGAAGTCTTCCCCTTGAAGCAAAAAACGGTAGTCTTTAAGGGTTCACTAGCACATATTCTAGAAGTTAATGATACTCTGACTTGCAACCGAAGTTTGTAGGGCATAGTCACAATTTCTAGAACCTTTCCATTGGTGTTGGAGTTGCCCAGGAATGCTCCTGTATTGCCCTCACTATTGTATTATTCATCAACAAAGAGTCACACTTTAGAGATGCTTGGGGATTTTTAAGCATTATTCTGTTACCACGTCTAGAATTCTGAAGTGGCCTTAAGAAAGAGGGTAATGGAGAGGCCTGTTGTAGCATCAAGAAGCAGCGCCCTCCCTACTGGGTTGTATAGCTCAGGAAGAAATGTTAGATGTAGCTTTCTCTGTCTCAGAGCTGCTTTTTTTTCCCCTACGGTTGAAATCTGGTGAAAATGAATACTCTTATATGGAAAATAGGCGGGTAGGGAGCAGCTATTCTTAGAAGGATTGTTTTATAGCTAAATACAAAGTACATAGAGGTAGGTATTACTGAGAAGTCAGCCACTGCTCACCAGGAACCCCTTAGATATTTTAGTATTAGCCAGAAATGCCATCACCTTCCCTGCTAGTCCTCTGTTTTACTATGTCACATACTGCTCTAAATATCTTGTTAGTGGAAGGAGATTACTTGGGACCCATTCTTAAAGTTCAGGGCCTTTGGAAGTTTATCCTTGTAAATGAGATAATATGTTGGTAGGACTTTAACTGTGACGTGCTATAGAGCTGTATCACCTTGTTGCTGTACTCTGGGGATTTCTCTGTCTGTGCACCTTGCAGTCACTATATACAGTCAGTGGTGTAGGGCCTGTGCTGTATTCCGGTGCCTGACACTGCGGAATAGCTATCAGTGTCACTTCTCAAGAATCACATGTTCATTTCAAAAGATGCTTTTTAGAGAGCATTTTTTGGGAATATTTTGCCCTCTTTGGCTAATTCCTGTTTATTCTTTAGTTCTTAGCTTAGCTGCCATTTTTACTAGAAGCCTTCCTTGCCTTCCCACCTCTCTAACACTTTTCCTTCTATGTGCTGTCATAGAACCCTGTATTTCCTTCCACACACCGTGTACTGACTTTTAATTGCCTTTTCACTTGTCTGTGTCTCCATTAAACTGTAGTATCTTGAGGGCTGGAACAGTCTCTTTCACCTTTATACAGGCAGACCTCGGTGATACTGCAGGTTTGGTTCCACGTTACCACAATAAAGCAAACATCGCAATAAAGCGAGTCACGTGAATTTTTTGGTTTCCTAGTGCATATAAAAGTTATGTTTACACTATACTGTAGTCTGTTAAGTATGCAATAACATTATGTCTAAAAGAACAATGTACATACCTTAATTAAAAAATACTTCTATTGCTAAAAAATGCTAACCATCATCTGAACCTTCAGCAAGTTGTACTCTTTTTGCTGGTGGAGGGTATTGTCTCAATGTTAGTTGCTGACTCATGAGGGTGGTGATTGCTAAAGGGTGGGGTGGCTGTGGCAATTTCTTAAAATAAGACAACAATGAAGCTTGCTACATCGATTGACTCTTCCTTTCTTGAAAGATTTCTCTGTAGCTTGCAATGCTGTTTGATAGCATTTTACCCACAGTAGAACTTCTTTCAGAATTGGAGTCAACCCTCTCAAACCCTGCCACTGCTTTGTCAACTAAGTTTATATAATATTCTGAATCCTTTGTTGTCATCTTAAAAATGTTCACAGCATCTTCACCAGGAGTAGATTCTATCTCAAGAAACCACTTTCTTTGCTCATCCATAAAAAGCATCTCCTCATCTGTTAAAGTTTTATCATGAGATTGCAGAAATTCAGTCACATCTTCAGACTCCACTTCTATTTCCTTTGCTATTTCGACCACATCTGCAGTTACTTTATCTGCTGAAGTCTTGAACCCCTCAAAGTTATCCGTGAGAGTTGGAATCAACTTCCAAACTCCTGTTAATGTTGATATTTTGACCTCCTCCTGTGAATCACGAATGTTCTTAATGGCATCTAGAATGGTGCATCCTTTCGAGAAGGTTTTCATTTTACTTTGCCCTGACCCATCAGAGGAATCATTATCTATGGCAGCTTTAGCCTTATGAAATGTTATTTCTTAAATAATAAGGCTTAAAAGTTGAAATTACTCCTTGATCCATGGGCTACAGAATGGGTGTTGTATTAGCAGGCATGAAAACGTTAATTTCCTTTTACATATCCATCAGAGCTCTTGGGTGACCAGGTACATTGTCAATGAGCAGTAATATTTTGAAAGGATCTTCTTTTCTAAGCAGTAGGTCTCAACAATGGGCTTCAAATATTCATTTACCAGGTTGTAAACAGATGTACTCTCATCCAGGCTTTGTTATTCCATTTATAGAGCACAGGCGGAGTAGATTTAGGATAATTTTTAAGGGCTCTAGGATTTTCAGAATGGTAAATGAGCATTGGCTTCAACTTAAAGTCACCAGCTGCATTAACCCTTAACAAAATATTCAGCCTGTCCTTTGAAGCTTTGAAGCCAGGCATTGACCTCTCTCTAGCTGTGAAAGTCCTAGATGGCATCTTCCAATATCAGGCTGTTTTGTCTACATTGAAAATCTGTTGTTTAGTATAGCTTCATCAATTATCTTAGCTAGATCTTCTAGATAACTTGCTGCAGCTTCCACATCTCCACTTCTGTGTCACCTTGCACTTTTATGTTATAGAGATGGCTTCTTTCCTTAAACCTCATGAACCAACCTCTGCTAGCTTCAGACTTTTCTTCTATAGCTTCTTCACCTCTCTCAGCCGTCATAACTGAAGAGAGTTAGGGCCTTGCTCTGAATTAGGCTTCGGCTTAAGGGAATATTGTGGCTGGTTTGATCTTCTATCCAGATGACTAAAACTTTCTCCATATCAGCAATAAGCTGTTTTGCTTTTTATCATTCATGTGTTCACTGGAGTAGCACTTTTAATTTCCTTCAAGAACTTCTCCATTGCATTCACAACTTGGCTAACTGGCGCAAGAGGTCTAGCTTTCAGCCTCTCTCGGCTTTTGGCTTCCTCACTAAACTTAATCATTTCTGGCTTTTGATTTAAAGCAAGAGACATGCGACTCCGCCTTTCACTTGAACACTTAGAGGCCATTGTCGGGTTAGTAATTGGCCTAATTTCAATGTTGTTGTTTCTTAGAGAACAGGGAGGTCTGAGGAGAGGGAGAGAGACACTGGAACGGCTGGTCAGTGGAGCAGTCAGAACACACACAACATTTATTGATTAAGTTCGCTGTCTTATATGGGCGCAGTTCGTGGCGTCCCAAAACAATTACAGTAGTAATATGAAAGATCACTGACCACAGATCACTGTAATGGATAACAGTGAAAAAGTTTGAAATATTACGAGAATTACCAAAGTGTGACAGAAACACGAAGTGAACATAAGCTTTTGGAAAAATGGCACTGATAGACTTGCTTGATGCAGGGTTGCCACAAACCTTCAGTATGTAAAAAAACGTAGTATCTCTGAAGTGCAATAAAGCAAAACGCAATAAAACAAGGTGTGTCTGTATCCACACTGTGTAGCACAGTGTCTTATACCTGGTAAGAACTCAGTAATGTTTGTCAAATAAATGTTTTATGTTTTAATGATGGATTAGGCCAGTGAGATGTATTTTTTATTCCTTGCAAGAGCTTCACAAGGACTTTGAGGCAATTAAAAAAAGATATATAATTATGTAACATTACAAATATATAAAAGCAAGTGTGTGTGTATGTTTTAAGAAATAAGGAAATTGCTGGCAAAGTAAATGTAAGGTAAAATAAAAATGGAATGAGTGAGGGTTGGGGCTAGAAGTATACTTGCTAGAGATATATACTACATATTTGACTTGAGCTTTCTGGTTGCAAATCAAGGTCAATGAGGATTTTTCTGGGTTTTGGTAGGCAGGTTTTTTAGTACTCTTCAGTTTATATCTAGAAAGCAATTTCTTATCCTTTTATATATAATTTTGGCTGTCGGGTTACACTTTTCCAGACTTCTGTCACCCCAGGACAGTCTTATTGATAATTGTGGAAGGTGGCACTAATGTGGTTTCCTAACCCTGCCAGTGGTGGCAGTGACAGTACTTTAAGGCAGTCCAGGCTTGTGGACTTGTCTGTGATCTCAGTTTACTTATGTAGTTGTTGTTAGGTGCCCTTGAGTCAGTTTTTGACTCATAGTGACCCCATGTGTTAAACAAATGTTATTGAACATTTAGTCTGTGCCAGACACTGTACTAGACATTTGACATACAAATATGATAAAGACTTCCTTAGCCTCAAGGAGCTTACTGGGAGGTAGGGGAAAACACAGAAAAAGATACGTAATTTATTACAACATGTTAATTACAAATGCAAGGTGCTTTGGGAGCCTCAGGGTTCAGGGAAGGTTTCCAATAAAATATGCTAGAACTGTGGTATTCTTAGCTGGAGAGGAAAAGTAGGAAAGATTTTCCATTATAAGCAAAGACATGGCAGTATGAAATGGTATGGTACCTGTGGAATGAGCAAAGGTAGGGAGGTATGAAATGGCATTGTACGTGCTGGGCAGTACACTGTTACTAAAGTATTAAAGTTTGCAGTGCTGGGGTGAGGGATACTCTTTGAGATATTGACAAGGATTAAGTAATGAATGGCCTTAAATATCATTTTAAGGAGCTTGGATCTTTATCTTAAGAATAATGAGAAAGCCCATAAAGGGCTTTAAATGGCAATAGGACAGTCAGAAACATAGCTGTTAACTTAAAATCAGGGAGATTAGTATATTAAGCTAGAAATGATGAGTGTCTTAACTGCTATATATAATGATACCGGTATACCAATTGCCACCAAGTAGATTCTTACTCATGGCGATCCCACGTGTTGCAAAATAGAACTCATCTCCATAGGGTCTTCATGGCCATGACCTTTCGGAAACAAATTGCCAAGCCATTTTTCTGAGGCACCTCTGGGTGGGTTCAAGCTGCCAAACTTTCAGTTACCAGCCAAGAACTTAACTGTTTACATCACCCAGGGATTCTGTATATAGGGATAGTGACGGTAAAAGAGTTACTTAGGAGATGAGCAAATGATTGCATATGGGGAGACATGCTGGTGAGACAGTGCAGAGCAGAGATATGAGAGACATTGGATGAATTGCAGTTTTTGCCTTAGGCAGCTGGGTGGATGATGCAACTGTAAATTGAGATTAGGAATATAGGACAAAGTGGGATGATTACAGTAATAAATGCATTGCCATTGAGTCGATTCCGACTCAAGCAACCCTATATAGTAATAGCTAACGTTTATGGGGTGTTTAGTATGTGCGAGGCACTGTGCTGTGTGCTTTCCATGTATTTACTCATTTATTCCTCATCATAGCCTATGAAGTGCCAGCACCAGTTGCCATCAAGTCAGTTATGACTTATGGTGAGTCCATGTGTGTCAGAGTAGAACTATGCTCCATAGGGTTTTTGATGGCTGATTTTTTGGAAGTAGGTCGCCAGGCGTTTCTTCTGAGGTATGTCTGGGTCGACTGGAACCTCCTTCAACTTTCAGTTAGTAGCTGAGCATGTTAACCATTTGCACCACCTAGGTACCCAATCTGTGAAGTATTAGTTTCTCCATTTTGTAGATGAAGAAACTGAGGCACAGAAAGATTAAAATCCAACTTAGTTAAGATTCAGTATTGGGCATTCTGGATCTAGAGCTGAGCACTTAGTCTCTAATACTATATGATAGCAATATTGTGGTGCTTATTGATGTACAAGAAATTTGATTTATTGTAATACAACTCTATATTTCACAGTGTAACATATATGGAATGATAATGGGTGATGCTTTTAAATGTTGAAGTGTCATATTAGTTGGTAGAATGTGGCAGTAAGTTACTATCTATTATAGTAATGAATTGGTTTATTTTTTGCAAAAGTACAAGAGCATTGAGTTTATCAGCAATTGGCTTATAAACTATCTAGCATTTGGAGAAAAAGAGTCTAGAAAGAGATAGGCATTATTTTGAAAATTTGGGTAGTTGTCTACTATGTAGCTTGCTTTATTACATTTTTACTGGAAATGTGGGGAAAACAATCAGTGTTAAAGCATCCTAGTATTTTTCTTCATATAGCTAACATAGTGTCTTACACATACTAGAAACTCAAATATTAGGTTGGGAATGAGAAGAGAGGAATTAGAGATAGTATATAAAGACAACTCTTTGAAAGAGTTTTTCTGCAAATGGGAGTGGTGCACAAGTGGAGGGGGCTTTAGATGGGAGCACCGATGGTTGATTAGTTGTAGCAGGAAGAAAGAATGGGTATAGGTATAGATAGTTGATAAATGTAGTGGGAGTATATATGGAAGACCTCTTTTGTTTACTGCTCTATGTTCAGGAAAATAAGAGAAGTGAGATTATCAGGCTTTCCTCTCAACTAGTCCATCATAATTACTCTCGTCAGGGATACCAGTGAATTCCATATTGCCAGATCATTGGTCATTTCTTAATCCTCCTCTTACACTGTTCAATAGTCGATCATTCCTCCTTTCTGAAGTACTTTCTTCACTTGACCATCACCATTCTCTCTTAGTTTTTCTTCTACTTCACTGGCACTGCTTCTTACTCTCATTTGTGTAGCACCTTTTAATCTTCCTGATTTTGAGGTCTAGCCACCCAGTCTATGGCCTGCTTTTTTGTCTGCACCCATTCCCAAGGGATCTTTTATCCAGCCCACTGACCTTGAATACCATTTATGTGCTTTTGACACCCTAATTTGTATTTCTAGTCCCGACCTTTCCACTGGACTCTGTATCTGAATAGCTGACTGCCTGCTCATTATCTTGTCTTGTATATCTCATAGACATCTCACTTGACATGTCCGAAACCATACATTGATTCTCCTTCCATAAACCTACTATAGTTCTGTCTGTGAAAGGTACCCTACCAGTTGTTCTGCCATTCTACCAGTTATTCAGTTTTCTACTAGGATGCTTTAACACTGATTGTTTTCCCCACATTTCCAGTAAAAATGTAATAAAGCAAGCTACATAGTAGACAACTGCCCAAATTTTCAAAATAATGCCTATCTCTTTCTGGACTTTTTCTCCAAATGCTAGTTTATAAGCCAATTGCTGATAAACTCAATGCTCTTGTACTTTTGCAAAAATTAAACCAATTCATTATTATAATAGATGGTAAAACCTCAGGCTTTGACTACTGCCTCCATTAGCAAATTTTGATGCCTCTGCTTTCAAATATATCTAGAATCTGACCCTTTCCTCCATTTCCACCATTACCCAAAATGGCTCAAGCCAACTGTCAGCTCTCTTCTGAACTATTGTAATAACCTACAGTCAGGTATCCTTGCTTCTATCTTTGTCCCCAGAGTGAGCTTGGTAAAACATAAATCAGGTCACATCAGTCTTCTGCCTAAAACCAACTAATGTCTTTCCATCTTACTGAAAAAGCCAGAATCTTTATTATGACTTACAAGGCACTATATGTTCTAAGGTCTTCCTTCCCTTAATCCTGCCCTTTTTTTGTACCCTTCTCCCCTTCGCTTTGCTCACTTTGCCATAGCCATCATGGCCTCCTTGCTGTTCCTAGAACACACATAGCATTTTCTCTCCTCAAAGACTTCTGTACTGGCTGTTGTCTTTGCCTGAAATGTGCTTTTCCTAGATAATTGATATGGCCCACTCCCTCACTTTTTTCAGTTCTCTTCTTAAAATGTTGGGTTTATCTGAAAGGCCTTTCCCTACCACCTATATAAACTAGAATCCCTAACCCCAGGTACTCTTGGCCTTCTCTACTATGCTTTATTTTTCTTCATAGCAGTTATTACCACTTGACATAAATTCTTTGTCTTTTGGAGTTTTTTCTCATTTTTAATGGTATCTCAGTACTGAAAGTAACAGTTTTGGGGACATTATAGGCATTTAATAAATATTTATTGAATGAATGAATAATCAATAGCTTTATTGTGTATCTCTAAATGTCTATATCATTCAACACTTATCTAATTTAGTGTTTTTCTCCCTCTACAGCACAATGGTCGGTTCTGTCCAAGGAAATACATATCCCAGTCAGGCTTCAGTATATAGTCCTCCTCCTCCTGCTGCTGCTGCTGCTGCTGCTGCTGATGTCACTCTATACCAGAATGCAGGAACTAATATTTCCCAGGTGCCAAACTATAGCTTAACATCATCAACTCTGCCTCAACCAGTAGGCAGTCAACAGCCACCTCAGCCACAGCAGCCATATTCTCAGAAGGCTCTTCTATAGGACTTGGGATTCCTCTTTGTGGCAAATATCTGCTAAATGCAACAGACGTTAGGAGATTCTTTAACATCGTAAGATTTGTCTATCAGCTTATAGGACTCTATCTTGGTCAACAAATTTAAATACTCAAGAAGGTAGAACTCTATTCAATTTGCACTGACTTTCTAGAGTTCTCCCATCCCCCACCTTCCACCCAGAGGAATGAAACTACTTATAACATATAATTCCTTTCATAATATGAAAGAATTGATACAAGGTTGTCTCTTAAATTACCTAGTCTGAAAAAAGTCAGACTTATAATAAGCTGTTGTGACAAATGTTATGTATGTATATTGATGTGTAACTTCATTAGTGGCCATTTTGAATCACACTGGTGATCATGTGAATATATTTAACACTGTGTTAAATTAATTTACATTACTGTTTTATTTTAATCATGAACAACTACCATGTTTCATAATGTTTTGTGTGGATTTAAGGTAATTACGCTATCCTTTTAAACGGCAAAAGAAGAAAGTTGTCATGTATTTACATGAAGGCATTATTGTTTGTGTTTTAGTTTCACATTAAACTGAACCTTTTACTAATTGTGAGCTAAACATATGTATGTTGTCTTTCTGTAGGCTCTGCACACTACTGGCTATCATCACACCAACGTACAGTAGCTAAATTTTTGGTGCGGTTATATAGCAAATGATAACTTACCCTATTAAACTTTCACATTTTGGCGTGGTATTTCAGAATATTGTGGGACCATGTGACAAATTAAGTAGGATCACATTCTTTGTACCTTATTTTTAAGGAAATGAAGTCAATTTGCTTTTTCCTAGTTGAGCATAGTAATTAGATTTCAAAGCTGTATACTGTGTTTGTTGGTAGCAGTGACACCAAAGATAGAGGCAATGGATAGAAATTTTTAAACTGGATAAAAAAAACAAAACATGAATTACACTACATTTTCAAAATCTCTTGTAATTATTTAGAATATAAACAAAATTTGATTCATCAGTCTTACTCCACTGCTAGTCTTTTAAATGTGTTTTTAGCACATTGTATCCTTTAATTCTTCATTAAAATGGATATAAGTTGATGTTTCAAAGTAATCTGTTTTCCTCCTGACTTTGCTTAGCAATTTATGTATTTATTGTTATCTTTCAAACTAGATGTTTAGACTGCTCTGTCTCTTTGAAAGTTGATCTAATGGAATATTTGTGGCGTCCTATTCAGAAGTATTTTTGAATTTGAATGCGTTTCTTTTAATCCATATGAAAAATGTTTTCCACTGACATTTTAACCTTTCTTCTTAAATATTTATAATTTCTCTGGTTATGTTATACTATTATTTAACACTATTAGGTAAACAACTGAAATTTGAGCTGAGCACTGTGTTAAATGAATTGATTTAGCAAATTTCCTACCATAAATGAAAACTTAATTTGTATTTCCTAAGATTATTGTAATCACGTATCTTGTTTGTTTGATTTTTGACAAATGATTTCATCTTTGGCAAGAAATCTCTTTAATGGTGAGTAATTTCATAGGTTCAAATTTAAAGCACCATCTTCAACCTAAGTGTTTTACTCTAGTGTCATGTATTCCTGAGTTTGAGGTGTATTGCCCTCAAATGGTAATTTTAAAATTTGAATCCAAACTTCATATTGTTTAAAGTTTTAGTAATTTATTTTCTGATAAACATTGGCAAGCATTACTGTCTTTTTCTTTACAATTGGAATATTTTAGCTCAACTGATAGACTTCTTCCCAATTCATATTGTATTTTCCTTTGTCTTTTGATAAATTCCAGTTTACCAGTGCCAAATGAATCATTTTCCCATTTTAATTTTGATATCTTTCATGCTGTAAAATCAGTTACAAATTTTTGAGTACATCTTTTGTCCTGTAAAAGTCAAAGTATGATAAAATGAAGAAAAGAACAATTATCGTTACAAAGCATATACATTTTTCTTTGCCTATTACATTAGTCAGCTTAAAAGTTTAAATGATGAATACTTAAAACTGCTACTATATTATTTTGTACCTTTCATTTATTAAGGATGAAAATACCAGGTGGAAAGATTCCAATGAAATCTTTCCAATGACATGGCAAATATGGAAACAGGAAAGGACTATTTAGGAGTTCAGATTTATTTTTTTTCTGAAATGTGTGTGTGTTGCACTTTTAAGAAATCTTCTCTAAAATATAGCTGTCCCTAATTTGAAGGAATAAAATTATTTATAAAATGAGCTAACTATAATGTGAACTTTTGTGAAGCAAATTTTATTTCCCAGTTTATTTCCTTTATAAAGTTTCAGGTTTGTTTCTGTGAGACAGTGACATCCAAGTGGAAAAGATTTGGTCCAGTTACTACCTAGCATAAATAGCAGATAGATTCCATGGCCAGTTGTATGTTATATCAGTGTCCTAAGCCTACTAGGAATGCTCTATAGTATGTACTTAATATGATTTTATACTCTTTTCTAAATCTGTGATCCTCCTTTACTGTTATCTATCTCCCCTACTCAGTGAGGGGCCTTCTTAATGTGCATAGAGATTTTCTTCTCCTTATTAAAAACTTTTGCAACTTTGATTTTATACTTCTTAATTTTTGTATTTAAATGCTTAATAGACCACTGTAATTCTTTTCTGATAGGTACAGCTTTCATATAGGACATATGTTTCATTCAGCTTGAAAATATCTTTAGTTCAAAGCTTCAAGTTTACATGACAAATTAATGCCCTACATGACTATGTAACTATAAAAATTATATAAATTCTCTAAAATGAGGTCCATTGACATAATTGGTCAATTTTTCATCTGCTTAATGTATTAAAATCACTATTTTCTTTTCCTCATCTATTTGTTTACTTACCAGTTGTACTAATAATTATAACTTCTAGCTATATCACTTTTAAAATATATAATAACAAAAATATAGTTAAAAATTTTTAATCTCATTTGCCAATTTTTTTTTCTTGGTTTGCTTTTTTAGTGGATTGTTTATAGCCCTTAGAATAAAATATATAGAATCTTACCTGAATGTTTTCTCAAAGTCCTTATATTCAATTCTCTTTAGTGTCATGATACAATTAAGTGTCAAATATGTATTATTTTCTGTACTATTTATAATAACATGCCCCCTAGTTTTTAAGCAAAGATGTCTGATTTTTCTGTATTCTTTCTGGTCTTCCTTTGAAGTTATAAAGCTTAGTGGTATATTTTTTTTTCTGACTTTTTCTAGTTTCAAAATTTTTTTCCTTATGATATTCTAGAGCATTTTAAATCTTATTATTTAAAATCTTAGATTTCCCTGTTGAACAAAGTTTAACACTTTATTAGTGATAACTTGTAGTCATATTGTACTTTGCTCATTTTCTGACTCCCTAGCTTCTGCTCACAGTTTCCACTGAGGTCATTGTGTGTTTGCTGCTGCTTTTAGACTCATAGAAGTTCTGATGAGTATTATATATTAAATTATTAAGAGTCAGTAAGCCACTGGATAAGAGCTAAAGGGGCTGGTTTTAGTGCTCTTTTGGTGGTTAGAGACTTTGAAAAAAATAGGTTTGTTTTATAGAAGAGTAGTATCAACTTTTTGATCAGATAGCCTGATCACTCATTTTTGATTATATAGCCTCTCTTCCTCTCTCTCTGTCTATATATATGTATATGAATTGTACAAGTTGTAATGTACTAATACATGTATATTATAAAACACACCAAAAATAGAACTCTTAAAGGAGAGAAAAAATCCATTAGTGGAAATGCTGATATTTTCTTTCTGTATCTCAGTGGATCACTTTGTTTATGCCCTGTGATGTGTGTACACAATTTGGAGACCACTCTTTTGGAGGTTAAGATTAAACAGGGAAAAGCAGTAAATTATTATTTACGTTTTGTTACATATTCATTTTTAAAAATTTGTGCTAAAATATTTTTTGATCAGGCTCTCTGATTTTTTTTAAGTACATTGTATTGTTTTGCTATTTAGTAAATATCTAAACTTTTTTTTTTCTTTCATATATTCTTCAACCTATAGTGGTCTTCTATAAGATTATTATTTCTTAAAAGGAAATATTGACATGTCATCATCTTTGGCTGTTTTCTATTATAGATGGTAACCATACTAACTGTAATGTCTTTTTTTTAAATTGAATTTTATTTTGAAACCAAACATAGTGTTTTTTTTTTACCAAACTGATTTTAATTTATGGATCTGATTTGCTTCTGAATGTTTATGCCTTCGTTTTGTGTGTGTGTGTTTTTAAAGCAGGTAGTGTAAAGATGATGTCTTGAAATTGTTAATTTTATTCATATTGGTGATTTACCTTTACACTAGTCAGCTCTGTCTTTAATATATCTCAAAACTTATGAAGTTGGTACCTTAAAGTAAATATCTGACGCTGTGAAGCGACACTTTTCCCACAAACTTTTTTATGTTGAGAATTTTTAAGCTTATAGAAAGATGGAACACCAAAATACTGTTCATCTAGATTCACTAATCATTAGTATTTTGCCACATTAGTTTTATCTCTTTGTGTATGTTTGTATGTGTGGATATAGTTGTGTATATATGTGTATATATACTTTTTTGTGTAAATATTTCTAAGTCACAGTCATTGTAAACTCTACTCCAGAGTTCTTCATCAATGCATCTCATAAGGATATTCTTCTACATAACCTAAACGATTATATCCAAGAAAATTAACTATAATTCTATAATATCATTGTTATCAGTTGTTCCCCAAGCTATCTTTCGTAGCCTTTTTTTTTTTTTTCTTTCAATCCAGGATCCATTCAAGAAACACACCACATATTTCATGTTGCTTTATTAATCTGGGATAGTCTTCTTGGTCTTTTCTCCCCATGCCAGTTGTCCCATAGACTGTCCCACATTCTGGATTTACCTCATTGTGTCTTTGTAGTCTCATTTAACTTGATGTTCATTCCAGTTACTTTTATTATTATTTATTCCTAAAAGAATTAGAATCAGAACCATATGATCTATGATTAAAAGAACTAAATGAAACTAAAAATTTCAGGCTATTTGAGAAGCTGTATGTAGAAATGAGCACGGTTAGCCTGATAGCGTAGCTACTGTGTATAGCAGACTGTATACACTAAGGTCATCGATACTAGCATAGCTCAATAGTTTTGTGTTCTTCATTTCAAATTGCATTCAGTCACTGAGGAAAATTTGTGCTTCAAAAAAAAATAAGTAGCCCCCAACGCCTTTTCCCCTTTCAAGCCCAAATCGGCTTTACTCAGCTTGTTCACCCACTTAATTCATTCACTCTGGGTGACTTTTAGGTATTTTTAGAAATTTTATCAATAACTATAGATCTGTGTTTTAGAATGCATAAATTTTGTCATGTTTGTTTTAAAAGACTTCTCATTACCTTATAGTCGTACTTTCTATTAAGATATTGAAATCACTGAAGAAGAGGGAAAGTTCTTTTTAAAAGTTCCAATTGTTAGTTTTGTGTGTGTGTTTTATTGTGGTAAAAATATATATGACAAACCATTTGCCAGTTCAGCATTTTTTACAAATTCAGTGACATCGATTATGCTCATCATATTGCCAACTATCACTGTTTGTTTTCAATTACTCTACAACCATTAACAGAAATTAAGTGCCCCCTAAGCAGTGACTCTCCCTCTTCCCCTCCCTGCTACCCCGGTAACCACTGATAAACTTGGTCTCTATACATTTACCTGTTTCATATAAATGGGATCATACAACATTTGTCCTTTTGGGTCTGACTTATTTCACTGAGCATAATGTTTTCAAGATTCATGCATGTAGTAGCATGTATCAGGACTTCCCTTTATGGCTGAGTAGTATTCCATTGTATGTATGTGCCACATTTTCTTTATCCATTCATCTACTGATGGACATTTAGGTTGTTTTCCCTTTTGGCCATTGTGAAAAGTGCTGTAATGAACATTGGTGTACAAATTTCTGTTTGTGTTCTTTTGGGTATATACCTAGGATTGGGATTGCTGGGTCATATGGTAGTTTTATGTTTAATGTTTTGAAGAACTTCCAAACTGTTTTCCACAGGGGCTGTACCATTTTGCATTCCCACCAGCAGTGAATTAGGGTTTCTTATTGTTACTTACTTTCATCAAGTTGGTTACTAAACTGCAAGCTGGTTACTAAATTGCAGGTTACAATAATGTACACTCTCAGATTATTAAATAGCTAGTTTAGAACCTTAAATTATTTCAGTTGGTAAATAACTTTTTAAAAGGCAGAATAAACATTTGTAACCCGTTGTTTCTGTGACAGGATATATGAGGTTTCTTAACTGCAGGATCATTACATGATCTTGTTACTTTTGAGGTAAGGTGTATAAATGGTTGAGAATATTTTCAGTTAAGTCAATTATATATGATACCGGTCTGTTAGTTAAGATGCTAAATAGGAAAATTTACGTAAAAAGTCCATATGATATGGTTATTTTCCTCAGAATCAAAAACACAGAAAAAAATACACCTATATGCTATTTTGGAATGTGTTCCTCTTCATGGAAAAGGAGGTTTCGATGTAAGTATCTTTGTTAATCTGTAATTTAAAAACATAATGATAACACACTATAAAGGAGTTGCTCAAAATGACTAAAAAAGTTGTAACCAAGAATATAGATAAATTCACTTAATACCAAAGAGGCTTCATTGTAACAAGTTCATTTCTAAAAATAGTGGATGGCACATGATAAATGTTTTCAGTATTTTGCATTGTAAATATATCATAGTTTATGACCACATGGATTTCTTGTAAAGGAAATGCTGAATTGTGATGGTGTTTTAGATGAAGAGAAGAATAAGAACTAAACTAAGTTATAGCTGAGTTTATTGGAGTTGTATTCTGCAGTTGGAGCCCTGGTGGTGCAGTGGTTAAGACTTGACTGCTAACCAAAAGGCTGGCAGTTTGATTCTGTCAGCCACTCCTTGGAAACCCTATGAGATAGTTCTACTGTGTCCTATAGGGTCACTATGAGTTGGACTCAACTTGATGTCAGCGGGTTTGCTTTTGTTTTGTTTTTTATTCTGCTATTAAGTGGAAATTTCATTCTGTTGCCTTTGTAATTTAGAGAACTGAGTTTTAACCCAGATACATCTTTTGTCAGAACAATATCTTGCTAGTTATGTAATCTTGGGCAGTTTTGTGAATCTCTGGTTCTTCTTTTACTTATTTATAAATTGTAGAATTGGTGTAATTATATGATACTTTTCAGTTTTCAGAAATCCTTTGCTTCCCATCTTCTGCCTCTGCCTACCTTAAATATCCCTGCCATTCAACCTGAATTATACCTATGACGTTGAAATAAACCTCTATTAGTTTATAAGAGGAAAGGGGATGGGAATGGAGTTGAGTACTATAGGTGCTGAAACTTGGGAGCATGATTTTAGCATAATTTATAACAATTTACTTCCTGAATATTATCTGGGACTACTTTGTTTCCATTAGTAAACTCTTGAGCCCTTGTTTCTGTTTGAGTTACCCCACCGTGGACATCCGTACTCTAAGTAGAAGTTCTTTCATTTAATAATAGTACTTTCACTTTTATTGGTGTCTTAGTCATCTAGTGCTGCCATAACAGAAATACCACAAGTGGATGGTTTTAATGAAGAGAAGTTTATTTCCTCATAGTCAAAGTAGGCTACAAGTCCAAATTCAGGGCATCAGCTCCAGGGGAAGGCTTTTTCTCTGTCGGCCTTCTTCTCTTCGGTGTTCCCCCAGACTAGGAGCATCTCTGTGCAGGGACCCTGGTCCAAAGGACGCGCTCTGCTTCCGGCACTGCTGTCTTGATGGTATGAGGTCCCCCTGTCTCACTGCTCTCTCTGTTTTTATATCTCAAGAGATTGCCTCAGGACACAATCCAGTCTTGTAGATCAGGTCCTGCCTTACTAACACAACTGCCACCCATCCTCCCTCATTAACGTCATAGAGGCAGGTTTACAACATACAGGAAAATCACACAGTACCAGAAATCATGGCCTAGCCAAACTGATACATTTTTGGGGGGACATAATTCAAACCGTGACAATTGGTGATTTGGACAAAAAATTAAATATAGCTTTTGGGGCATATACTATATTTGCACACTTAGGTAGCATCAGACTATGAAATTTTATTGTTTTTGATGTAGACAAGGTTGTATCCTTCGTCTTACTGATCTGAAAATCATGATAGAGACAGTGTACTACACTGGCCATCCTTTAGCCATTTTGTTTATTAAGTAAGCAGTTTGCTGAGATGCTAGAGTACTATGGAAACTATTAGTTCTATCTTTGGTGCTAGCTAAGAAAGTTCTAATATTCCAAATATGGTACAAACTCAGCAATAGCATTTTTTTTGCATCAGAATTATTTGGCCAAGAAAAATGCCATTATTTATTGTTTAGTAAGTTACAGCTTTTTGTGTGTCACTTTCCATGTTTTTACGCAAATAACGTGCACGTTACATGTTTTTTTGCCAACTGCACAAACCCTTTGCACATCATTTTCCTAGACGTGCTGTGCACGTTACATGCGTTGGGCGCATTGTTTAGTTGGGCACGTTATTTGTTAAAATACAGTATATGTATCCATTATTTTATATACTTATCTAAAACAACTCCAATAATAAAATAATTTTTAGTTTTGCTGCTTGTTAGGTGCCGTCAAGTCGGTTCCCACTCATAGCGACCCCATATACAACAGAATGAAATACTGCCCGGTCCTGTGCCATCTTCAGAATCGTTACGCTTGAGCCCATTGTTGTGGCCACTGTGTCAATCCATCTTGTCAAGGGTCTTCCCTTTTTTGTTGACCCTCTACCTTTCCAAGCATGATGTCCTTCTCCAGGATCTGATCCCTCCTGATAACATGTCCAAAGTATGTGAGACATAGTCTTACCATTCTTGCTTCTAAGGAGCATTCTGGCTGTATTTTTTCCAAGACAGATTTAGATACCCTGCTAACATTCAAATTTTTTCCCTAAGTTAGTTTATATTTATTTAATGGAATCAGGTAAAAAATATATATATATATGGCTTATTTCAAATACTGAATAGATAAGCTTTTATTATAGTTTGTGTTTTTTTTAGAAGGGAAAGAAAGTTTTCCAATTGTTTATCACTGATTGTTTTATTTATATTCTCCCTTGGTAAGCAAGAATAATCATAATGCCTTTTAGAATCTTTTTTTGTGGTTTCATGCTGATTTTTTTCTGAAGTGGTTCCAAGAATAAATATTTCTTGGGTGTTACTGAAAAGAAAAGAAAAATATAACGAAGACCAAGTTTGTGTTTACATAGTTGTTTGTTTCTTTTTAAAGCAAGGTAGATTCTCACAGATCTTACTGAAATGTTTTAATGTTAAAACGGGACAATCTCGTTTCATTCATATGGGTGCCAAATATTAATTTACATGGGAAGGCAGATAGTCCAATGGATTCTCTTCAAGTTAAATACGTATTTGAAACGGGAATTCTAGGACCTTGGGTAGAATTACATTAAACTGCAAGTTGAATTATTATGCCTTTTCTTACTCCATCGGACTTAAGAGTATTTTTACTTCTCTGCATGCCTTTCATGTATTTGAATGAGCATAGTTTCCTTAAGGTTTTTAGCATGATAGCATAATTCCGTTTTTATTTTACTGTTCATCCAGCATTGGTATGTATTTAACTATGCTGCTTTGTACATATGAAAGACAAAAACAGTTTTATTTGCTAAAAAATACTGAAACATGGTTCTGTTTATGCTTTCAATTGGAGAAAGTAAAACTG